ATAAAAGATTTTTCTATATTTAGGGTAGAAAAGGATGTAACGCACCCACAAAAGGTTTATTGTAATGACTGAAACAGAGGAAATTTGTAAATTATTTCACATGCAGAAACTGCTTGAAACTCATTGTTCGTGCTCACCTGTTTAATTAGTAAAGAAGATTTTTATTTTTTTTCTCAAAGGTTGAAGTAAAGTCTGGAGAAGAGGATGAGGAGATTCTTTTCAAAGAAAGAGCAAAGCTGTACCGTTGGGACAGGGATATCAATCAGTGGAAAGAAAGAGGAGTAGGGGAGATAAAAATTCTATTTCACCATGAAAAGAAATATTACCGTATTCTAATGAGGCGGGAACAAGTCCTTAAAGTGTGCGCCAACCATGTGATTTCAAAAGCCATAAAGCTCAGTCCTCTAAATACATCAAACAATGCTCTAGTCTGGACAGCAACAGACTATTCTGGTACGTTGTGCATCTCTTCTCTCTACCTAGAAGTAGGATATTGGTGTAGGGTGTACAGTTGGGTTTTCTAAATGTAATATTAATCATGTTACACCAGAATATATCCTGTTATTGAAGACCGCAACTAAAGCACTGCAAACCTCACTATTAAAGCAACACTTAGGACCCTTTGAATGTTTCAGATTAGAGGTTGGCACTACTTGAGGATAAACATTAAATCTTTTTTTTATTTTTAGATGGTGAAGGTAGAATTGAACAGTTTGCTGCCAGATTCAAAAACCAAGAGTTGGCCGATTCTTTCCAGAGAAAGTTTGAGGAATGCCAGCAGATTTTGCCAGATCAGCCGGATGATTCTTCATGAAGACAACCGATCTACAATTCCACACACAGACTATTCTTATTAAACACATTGCAAACTGAACAAAAACTCATTTCTGTCCACGTATGTTTATTATATCTTATCCTGACTGAATTTGCAGTGGTCTATAAATCTTTGCTAGATTTATATTCTGTTCATGGTAATTGCTCTACTCTATCAATATATTGTTCTGAATAACCAGTTGTGGTAAAGTCTTTTTCCTGATATAATGGGCAATTGTGGTGTAGGCTCTTAGTAGCTTCTCAGATTGTGTTTATCAACTAGGGCTATTCCTGAATTATGTCCCATCTACGTTCATTTCCTGCATATCTCAATTGCACATAGTTCAACTGTAGAGCCTAATTTTTGCTCATTTCTAAAGAGTAAGCCTCAAGTGGATGGGTTATTCTCTTGTGATGTGTATTAAAGAATAAGTAAAACTTTGCTCCTTGGTTGAGCATCTTCTAAAATATGATAGAACTTTTCTTAATTAACCTAATGAAAATAATTAAATGGGTTTAAATTTGTGTAAGCAAATGTGTGCTTTTTCATATGCAAGCAAATATTTTTTAAATGTTAGTGTTGTAAATAAAGTTTGACCTCTGTGACAAACTGTTACATTTCCTTTTGACAAATCCATTAGAATAAGTCTTACAAGGTTCTAAATACATTTAGATGCAAAATGTTGTAACATTACTACGGAGTGTTAGTGTCTCTAACCTGTGTTAACTGGGAAAGGTACTTGACTTTTTTCAGCAGATACCAGTGTTTTTACAACCTTTACTACTTCTGATACATATGTGCTGCAAGTACTCCTTTTCTTACATCATGTGATTCCACATGGCAAAGCATTGAATTTCATTAAAGGAACGCAATAGGGTCAGGAACACAAACCAGTATCCCTGACCCTATGGTGTTAAAACCATTTAGCCCCCTTGCCTCCCTAAATATAGCAAAATCTTACCTTTATTTTAGTCTGCTGCTGGCTCTGTCCCTAATCTGCCTGCTTGGCTGACTTCATCAGAAGTGATGTTCTGAGCCAATCACAATGCTTTCACATAGGAAAGCATTGGATGGGCTGAGCTTATCAAGAAGGCAGATCAGGGCAGAGCCAGCACAAGCCAAACACAGCCCTCACCAATCAGCATTTCCTCATAGAGATGCATTGAGTCAATGAATCTCTATGAGGAAAGTTGAGCGTCTCCATGCAGATGGTGGAGACACTGAATGTAGTTGTTCTTGTGACTATAGTCTCCCTTTAAATGAACACTTATCATAATGGCATCATGGCATTTGTTGGCCATACAAAAAAGCAAATCATGTAAATCACAAATCTCTATGGATTAATACATTTAGACAAAAGGAACTTTGAATTAAATTCACTTGTTAAACCTACATAACAAGTACCTTCTATGTGAGCCTGTACTTGATATATGTAATTCTGAACTTTTCTGCTTCTATTCTGTATTGGTAAACTTGCCTTTTATCACATTAATACCATTATAGTACTGTTAATGGACCATTAAAATTACAGTATTTGTACTTTACTCCTTTGTGTAGAACCACTGCACGTACTTTTTTTTTTTTTTTTTTGGTAGCAAATACCTCATGCAAAAAGGAGGTAATCCACCATCCATAGAGTACAATGTCACAATTTAGCAGAACAGAAGATCACTTTTAGAACGGAATGGATAACTTTTAATCAAGAGATTACCACCTCCTTCCCTTAAATCTACTCATTTATACCCTTTCTGTGCTCCAGCACAGCACGCCATTTTAAATGCATGAAAGCTAGCATTTCATGTTTGTGTACAGAGATTATGGGGCAGTTTTTCAGAAGTACTCCCCTGGGGGTTATGATGGGAGTTTGGGTTTAGTTGCATAGCTTTAAGAATATTCAGACCTTACCATGATTGTAGCTATATTTATACACATTAAGATGGCTTATTAGGCTAGATGCAATAAGCCTCTTTTGATGCCATCCAGTGTCCCTTTTTAGGTACTGCAGCATTTTATCAAGATGGTGGTTTGCTGATTTGGTTTTGGAGAAGGTATTAGCTGTGGTTTAGATTATTTATTTTTACTAGGATATTTGCTTATTTTGTTTCTATTTAGCTTGTGTGATTCTTTCTAGTTAACTTTGAGACAAGTAATCACTTTCCAGGCAGCAATACTTTTTTTTTTATTGCTTTCCTTTTTTTCTATATCTGATTTGGGTTAAGCCCTGGACTGTACTCGTGCTGCGAGGGTTGCATACCTAGTAAGCAACAGTCTTTCTTTTTTTTTCTATTTTTTTATGGCAGATATATGTACCTGTGCGCTCCCTCCTTAGGGCTGCTATTTCTTCCACGAGTCAATCACCTGTACAAGAACACAAAAGCCATGCATGGGATTATTCATAGACTTGATTAAATTAGGTCTGTTCAACCATAATTTACCTCTCTCATATTAGGTGCACCCACACTTATATAATATTTTGTTCAGAAGAAACAGAACTTATATTTCAAGTCAATATTTATTTATGGAACATAATTTTATATAAATAAAAACTAAAACTAGTGTGAAAAATTAAGACAAACTTATTTTCTTAGTACTGTAGGGCATTTTTAACTGTCATAATACTGTTGGCTTTTACTGCAATAATATAAACATATTTATGTTCAGAGATGTCTCACAAGTACAACAGTACCCTGCATGTACGGGTTTCATGGGGTTTTGGAAACTTACAGGGTCAAATATAGGATGTTCCCCATTCCAGTTTTTACACATTGAAACGTGTTTTATTGGTTATGTTGACTGAGACAATGTGGCAGGCCAGGACTGAGAATTACTCCCATCATTGCATACAAGTTATAAACATTGACAACCCAAGGTATTCAAAATTAGGTATGTCCAGTCGTTTCTAGCAGTTACTTAGACACAAACTCTGGCCAAAGCTAGCGTTCATATTAGTTTTTTTTTGCCTTTTTAATTTTTATCACAAACTGAACTTTTCCTGATTATATCGTAATGATATGTTTTACCGTTTTAAAACTCTCGTACTCGCAAGGTCTCCCAATTAAAACATGTTTTATGGTGTTTTGGGGAGGACGTGGCATCGATTTTCTGGAGCGTGACTGTCTGGGCTGTAAGGCAGTGCACCCAGATGGGTATACTTCTGGGCCCGAAAGCCATTACTGTTCTGCTTTTATGTTCTATGCTGCTGCAATGGCTTTAAAGACCATTAAAATGCAGACTGCATAGAACTGAATCAAGGAGTTAAAGGTTAGCATTTATGTCAAGTAATAGCAAAATGTTGTTGTTGTTTGTTGGGTTTGTCCTCTTCAAGCCCCCAATCTGCCCTAGCTAGGTTTTTATGGAGATATCTCCATTCTTTATGGGATGGAAGAGAGACATTTTCAGTACTTTTGAATGCAGTCCACAGAAATGCAAGTATCAATGCATCGTACCTCCCAACATTTCAAATGGACCTAGAGGGGCACTTTAATGAGTAACCAGCAGGAAGGAGCGCACTGCACACCTACCGGTCACTTCATAAATTGTGGCCGTCTGGCCCAGCAAACCGTGGTAGAGCAACTTCTTATCTTTACCAGGTCTGACAGGAAGCATCTCACTGAGAGCACTGAACAACTTCCTGTATGGAGATCAGAGGGGCTGGGGAAAGGAGTACAGAGACACTCAGAGTGGGGGGGGATAGGGACCGAGAAACACTGGGAGCGGCTGGGGAAGAGCTACACAGAGGGGCTTGGGGAAGAGCACACAGAGGGGCTTGGGGGGAAGAGCTACACAGAGGGGCTTGGGGGAAGAGCTACACAGAGGGGCTGGGGGAAGAGCTACACAGAGGGGCTGGGGAGGAGGGGGACATTGACACACAGATGGGGCGGGGACACAGAGTTGTACATTTTTTGGGGGGGGGGTGAGCAGCTGGTCTTGCCCCCGCCTTGCTTGGGAGGTATGAGCAGGCCTGACAGGAGCCCAGCACTATCCCTCCCAGCATGCACCGCGGCTGTCACAGGTCACGGTGACCAACACTGCACGTCATCAGACACTGGCGGCAATGCTCAGAGCGCTAGGTGTGACAGGGCCACGCGAGCAGCCTCGTGTGCTGGTTTTTATTCTATCAATATTATGGCTGAGTCTCTCTCTCTCACGGGGGCGGGGCTATGGACAGATGTGGGCGGGGCCGTGTATTCTAACGTGTGAGGGGCGGTTCGCGGTCTGTACGTCATATCCCTGCTCTCCAGCCAATCCCACACGCTGCCTCCTCGTTCTGGTTGCCAGGGAGATCTTGGCGTCCGCTTAGAGTGTCAGTTAGGGGCTGGTGACGTCACTGGTGCGCGCCGTGCTGCTGGGGCTGCTGGTCAGAGGCACGGTCAGTATGTGTGTCAGGTTGGATGGGGGATAGGGGCTGGCACGGCACGGCAGCCATTCTAATGGTGACCCTGCAAGCTGGGAGCCCAGGGTCCTGCTGCCCACTGTCTGATTGAATTAGTGTCATTATTCATGCAGTGTGCTCAGTACGGGGACAGCAGACAGATTGGATATCACTATGAAAACAAAATCTATTCATATTATTATATTTTCTGCTCACTATCTCCCCTTAGCTACACTCCTAGTGTCCATATTTAGGATCCAGATCCTTCTGTCCCTGTTTGCTCCAATAATCCCCCTCTTTTCTAGGAGTTCCATATTGTTGTTTGTGTATTATTATTATTATTATTTATTAGTGTATAACAGAGCTCCACAGAAATAACACTCCTAGTAATGTGTCTTTAAATTAGAAATCAGTCTTGGTGTTTAAAAGTGGTTATTGGCTGCTTTCATGTAAGCTATTATCAGCTAATATTGCAGTTCACTTCTATTATGACTGACTCACAGTAGAGGGGTTGGAGACCAAATACTCAGACAGCCATGACTTGTTTTTTGTCCTAGAGTTCATTACATCATACTCCCTATAACTATATGTAATGGTTATGGTGCTTGGTGTCCTTTCTAAATACATTTTGGTTTGGGAGATATAGAGTTGGGGGATTTAGGAGATTTGAAATGATACATTTCAAAGTTAGGAACTCCTTAAAGCGGCACTGTCATGCCGAACTTGCCTTTCTTTGATTCCTCTTCTCTCCCTCTCTCAGGATCTGTTCTTCATTTCTTCCTGTCTGCCCTAGTTTTCTTTAAAACATAAGACAAAGTAGGGACTATTTGTCGTATGTAGGTTTCCTACACTTGACCATCTCTGACCAGTGGAGGAGCAAAGTGTGCTTCATTTCCGGTGGTCAGAGCAATTTTCCCACAATTCTCACCTTCCCTCCGTGTTCCCACGAAGCCTTCTTTCACTTTTCCCAAACGTCCTTTCATTTAAACAGCACGCCGGCAAAACTACCGAATTGCGTCCTAACAGAATAAGAACAGTTTCTCCATTTGTGTTAGGGCGCAATTCAGGACTTTGTTCAGATCGGAATTTCATTCGATCTTGCAGCCATTTAGTAGATAACTCCCTAATTCCCACGTTAACGTTAGTAAAATCTGCCCCTACTCGCTATATCGCGAGTAGGGGAATGTATACTAAACAGTGAGCAACCAGTGGCTGCTCACTGTAAAAATAAAAAACCCAGTATCCCCCCTCCGACACGGCACGGGTGGGGGCTAATAAACTGAAGGGGGGATCTAGCGGCACCCACCCCTGAGCGGCAGGGGGTCCTTAAATAACAATAAGGGGGGACGGACTTAGGCTTATAAAGCCTTCCCACGCCCTGCAATTAGGCTCAGAGCACTCTGGTTGGTTTAAGCCAACTAATCAGAGACCTCTGACAGGTAAGTCTCTACATTTACCTATCACAACACTCTGATTGGTTTGCTTGAAATCCAACCAATCAGAGTGCTCTGTGTCATTTTACACAGCGTGGGACTTACCTGTCAGTCTCTTCATTTACCTGTCAGAGCTCTCTGGTTGGCTTAAACCAACCAGTCAGAGCACTCTGGGCCTAATTGCAGCACGTGGGAAGGCTTTATAAGCCTTTCCCTACCCTGCGGAGCTCAGTCTGCACCGTGCTCTCCATTGGTGAAGATGGATTATTTTTTTTGCGCTCTGTTTTTTTATTTTATTTTTTACACGTTCAGGTATTATGGATTTTAATTTGGCCTTTTTTGGGGCTGAAAAATGAAGATTTTAGAAAAAATAAGACATCAAATGGTAAGTTTATTTTTTTTTTTTTTAACAGGTACTTAGTTCTTTTATTCCCTCCTCACTATTTATAGGTGGAGGCGGGTCCGTAGGGTTTTATTAATTAAATTTTTTTAATTAATTTTTGTTTTGGGTGTAGACAGTAGACATGCGATATAGTGAGTAGGGACAGAAATTACTAATACTAAGTAAGCTTTACTTAGTATTAGTAAATTTGGCTGAAAGACCAGCTTAGGTTTTTCAGCTTTTTGGTAGATAGCTCCCTAATACCGTGGGAATTAGGGAGTTATCTACTAAGCGGCTGCAAGATGCGGCACGAATAGGATCGGAGTTTCATTCATTTGAATGAAATTCCCATCCGAAAAAACTTCCGAATTACGTCCTAACACGAATGGAGAAACTGTTCTCATTCTGTTAGGACGCAATTCGGTAGTTTTGCTGGCGTTCTGTCTAAATGACAGAATGTTCGGGAAAAGTGAAAGGAGGTTTCGTGGGAACACGGAGGAAAGGTGAGAATTGTGGGAAAACTGCTCTGACCACCAGAAATGAAGCACACTTTGCTCCTCCGCTGATCACAGATGGTCAGGCGTAGGAAACCTCCATAAGACAAATAGTCCCTACTTTGTCTTATGTTTTAAAGAAAACTAGAGCAAACAGGAAGAAGTGAAGAACAGACCCTGACAGAGGGAGAGAAGAGGAATCAATTAAAGAAAGGTATGTTTTTGGCATGACAGTGCCGCTTTAACTAGAGTAGTCGCCCTCCACCAGTTCCGTGAGAATGTATGCTACCTGGCTATTGTACATATAACACAGTGGGTTTTATACACTAACGTTTGCAAAAAATAATCCATCCGGGACCATTCAGACTGAAAAATCTGGATTTTGAAACCCAGGTTGAACTTAAAGGACCACTATAGGCACCCAGCCCAGGTCCAGCTAGGTTTAACCCTTTTTTCTATAAAGAGAAACTGCTATGTTTATAATAGGGTTAATCCAGCCTCTTGTGGCTGTCTCATTGAGAGCCGCTAGAGGCGCTTCTCACTGTGATTTTTCTATGGACTGGCTGAATGCGCGCGCGGCTCCTGCCGAGGAGGAGAGTCCCCCACCCGGTGCTGGAGAAAGAGGTAACCCCTTCCACCTCCTAGAGTCCGGCAGGAGAGGGACCCTGAGGGACATACTTGTTTTCCTGGCACTATAGTGGTCCTTTAAATGGAGGAAAGTTCCTCTTTAGTCTTATTCAGAGGCTAATATCTAATGAAAAGTTAAATGTAGGTTGGGCTAAAATTATTTAAAAATTTTGTTATAGTTTTATTCTTTAAGAATTTGTAGAAAATATTCTTGCTTTTATTCAGCTTTGACCAGAATTCTGATTAGTAGAGATCTCTGGGAAGCTGGTTAATACAGCTGTCAGTTCATTGGAAATAAGACTAGGAAAATCTATTGTTAAAATAACATCCATAGCCCTATTTCTTTAAGGGAATTTGACATAATACCATTTCCATATCACAATTTTCTTTTTTTTAGTTCTTGTAAAACATTCACACAAGATTAATTTGTTTGGACCTGTTATCATTTCTCCCATACAGTATAGAATACTACAATGTGGACATAATTGGGATGGATGAAAAGAGGCACAGCTGTTATAAACACGTTTTTGTCTGAAATTGACTCTTAAGGCACTAAGCACTGGTCTCTTATAACTCATCCTTTTGTCAAAACATGGTGCTGTAGACATGTGATGTAATCAGAATGCTTTGTTCCTTTGGTAGCAAGTTGTGTCTGACATTCGGTGAGTGGTGCCAGTGATTTTGTTGGATTTAATTTTGAATATTATAGCCATGTGTGAAAAGTAAAAAAGGTGTAAACAATCTGTCAAAACCTGTTAAAAAAGGTTGCTTTGCAGTAATTATATATTACTGGATGATATAAAAGAACAAATTCCTTCTAGCAAATTACTTTTTACTACACTGGGTTGAGCACATTCATAATTAAAAAGATGGAAAGGTTGACTCATGCCATTATAAGGATGTTATATATCCTGAATAACATGTGGTTAACGAAGTTAAAACTATATATTTCTACTTTTCTATGCATTAGTGACCATAACAAGATTGAGGCATACACATGCTTTGTTTTATAGCGTTAAAAGAAAAAAATGCACACTGTTGGTAAGCACCCAGTAGAAAAAATATGCACTCACGGCACAGGTCCTCAATGCACCCCTATGACAGAATATACAGAGAGAAGAGAGGAAACCGCGCCTTATAGGAGCAGATACCTTCAACACTCCGATGGTATGGCAATATAGTGTTGAAGATATCTGCTCCTATATCCTTAGACGGGGATTGTAACGTCCATGCGAATTACGGTAGAGCTCCTGATTAGCTCTACCAAATGTGAGTGTAAATTATCTTCACTTATTGCATCACTCCTTTTAGCTTTTTAAATATACTGCACAATTGTGTTCTCCCTCTGTGTTTTCTCTTTGAGGATATATTATATTTACATCAAGTAACAGACACTGAATGTATGTATGCACATTTAATTTAAGGCGCGGTTTCCTCTCTTCTCTCTGTATATATTGTTTTTTTACAAGGTTGGGAATCCTTGTATTGGTTACTGCTGCCCACTAACTTTCTATTTTGGACTCAGCACCTAACATACCCTTTTTCTATATTTGTTATACCCCTATGACAGAGCTTGACAAATTTAGAATCTAGAAGCCAGCTAAAAAAGTAAGGTGCCAGTATTTTTTTCTTCTTTTTTTACTAACATTTTCAGCAAGAAAAATGCAATTCTTAAAGGAACACAATAATCAACAGAATCACTACAATTTAATGTAGTTGTTCTGGTGTCTATACCCTGTCCCTGCAGGATTTTCAATGTTAACATTGCCTTTTTTTGAGAAAAGGCAGTGTTTACATTGCAGCCTAGTAACATCTAATGACAGTCACTCAGACCGCCACTAGAGGTGATTCCTAGTCCAGTGCTGCACGCTCTGGGGAATGTTCCCCATAGAGATGTATTGATTCAGTGTTTTTCTATGAGGAGATGCTGATTGGCGCAGCATTTTGCTGCGCATGCACAATATCCACAAGTGCTTTCCTCAGCTTAGCTGAGATCATAAAGATTGATGATCTCAGCTACGGAGGCAGGACCAGCTGTGGCAAAACTGGCACAGCATGGGGGAAAAGTTGAGTAAAAACACCTTTTCCATGCGATCAGAGGGGAACAGGTACCTAAACAGACGCACTCTTTAACTAAGGCACACACACATTTTCTCACAATTTGACTTTTTTTTTTTTTTTTAATTTAAATCCACCCAGCTTCCCTACCTTTCGGAGAGCTGAGTGGATCTTTCCCTGGGATTAAGTGTGGCTGTACTCTATTCTTCCTGCAGTTCCTCTCTGATCCCCCTGTGCACCATGGCGACCTGGCACCTGGAATTTGTTGAGCCCTGCCCTATGAGGCGCATTGGATTGGACCAGCTATGGAGGAAGTGACACCTGTTTAATAAGAGACGAAGCTACCTATTGTGGATATCCCTTTAACATCCACTAGAGGGACTTCCTGGGTTTGTTCCTACAAAGAATGCAGTATTGACGTTCAGCGTCTCCACATTCTGCATGGAGATGCTGAGCACTTCCCTGAGTTGCATTATTATTATTATTGCCATTTATATAGCGCCAACAGATTCCGTAGCGCTTTACAATATTATGAGAGGGCGATTTAACTATAAATAGGACAATTACAAAAAACTTACGGGAGCAATAGGTTGAAGAGGACCCTGCTCAATCAAGCTTACATTCTATAGGAGGTGGGGTGTAAAACACATTAGGAAAATAATTTGCAGTCAAATAAGGTGGGCTGCCCTTTAGGAGAGAGCAAGAGACAGGTATGTGAGGTAGAGGTTAGTCTTGGAGGCCATAAGCTTTCCTAAAGAGATGGATTTTAAGGCACTTCTTAAAAGATGCAAGACTAGGGGAGAGTCTGATGGTGGTAGGCAGGCTATTCCATAGGAAGGGAGCCGCCCGCGAGAAGTCCTGCAAGCGTGAGTTGGCCGTACGGGTGCGGACAACGGACAGGAGGTGGTCACGGGCAGAGCGGAGAGACTGAGAAGATACATACCTATGGACCTGTGAGGAGATATGAGGAGCTAGAGTTGTTCAGTGCTTTATAGGTGTGAATTAATACCTTGAATTGACTCACACCTATAAAGCATTGAATAACTCTAGCCCCTCTTATATCGCCTCACAGATCCATAGGTATTACATTGCATTTCTATGACGAGATCTTGATTGGCGCACCGCACAAATTTGTCATGCATGCACACTAGCCTCCCAATTCTTACCTATGGGAAAGCATTGAGTTGGCTGAGATCAGGGAGGTGCATATAGCACATTGACTGGCATGATGGGAACAACAAGAAAAGTTAATTATTTTTATTTTGCTTTATAGTTCACATGGGGGGGAATAATTTTAACTTGTTACTAGGACACTACAGCGTTAAAAAAAAAAAAAAAAAAAAAAAGCTTGTATTCCTAACACCATAAACCGTTATAAAAAAACAAACAAATTAATTTAGAATTTTAGGTGAAATTTGCCAAAAAGAAAATAATCTGTCAGTAGCCATTTAGCTAATCTGGCCTTAAAAGGACCAGCTGTTCTGGTGAGTATAGTCAGGTCCTGCAGGCTTTTTATTGTAAACACTGTCTTTTCATTTTTTTTTCCCCATACATTGCAGCCTAGGAACACCTCTAGTGGTGCTTCCTGGGTCAGTGCTGCAAACTGTGCAGCATTGATGTTCAGCGTGGAGACGCCAAACTTTCCCATAGCAATGCATTGATTCAATGCATCTGTCTCAGTAACTGCTGATTGGCCAGAATGGTGTTTGGCTCTGCCCCCGCCTCTTTGGCTGAGATCATCAGAATTGACAATCTCAGCCAATCCATTGTTTTCCTATGGGGAAGCATTGTGATGGGCTGAGATCATCACTTCTGATGAGGTCAGCCAAGGAGACGGATCTGGGACAGAGCCCTTTGGACCTTTTCAGCGGCGCTGAAAACAAGGGAAGATTTTTACTATATTTAGAGTGGTAGGGGGAGACATGGGGGGCTAACTAAAGATTTTAACACTATACGGTCAAGAATAAATGTTTGTGTTCCTGACTCTATAGTGTTCCCTTAAATTTGAAATTCCCTTTGAATTCTCCCTTTTGTGAGTAGTCCTGTTAGTGTTCCTTTAAGCACAATGCCAACCATATAGGATTAGTATCCTTGATGTGTCAAAATCTAACCGTTTGTAAAGATGCATAAATGCTAATTTTTTCTGTAAATACATAGTATGTAAAATTCCACCCAACGTGTGTATGTGTGTGTGTGTGTGTGTGTGTGTGTGTGTGTGTGTATATATGTGTATATGTATCATCTCTGCATGGCAGGTGGTATGTATTTCAGGATAGTTAATACTGACCTGACAAGTAGCCAAAAACAGTAATTACTGAAACATTAAAGGACCACTATAGTGCCAGGAAAACATACCGTATATACTCGAATATAAGCCGAGTTTTTCAGCACATTTTTTGTGCTGAAAAACCCCAACTCGGCTTATACTCGAGTCAGTGTCTGTATTATGGCAACTTACATTGCCATAATACAGACTGGGGGCTGGCAGCGAGCGCTTACCACTCCTGCAGCTCCTGTCAGCTACCTGCTCCTCCGCGCCGGTCCGTGCAGCACCTCGGTCAGCTCCCAGTGTAAGTCTCGCGAGAGCCGCACTATGACCCCGCGGCTCTCGCGAGACTTACACTGGGAGCTGAGAGAAGAGCTGCACGGACCGGCGCGGAGGAGCAGGGAGCTGACAGGAGCTGCAGGAGAGGTAAGTGCTTCCTGCCCGCCCACCTCCTCCCCCACTGAACTGCCAATGCCACTGGACCACCAGGGAAGGAGAGAGTGTGTATATGAGTGCAGTGTGTATATGAGTGCAGTGTGTGTATGAGTGCAGTGTGTGTGTGTGTGTGTGATGCAGTGTGTGTTTGTGTTGCAGAGCCTTGGTGGGGCTTTTATAATAATTAATATTATTTTAATTTTTTTGTTATATTATTTTTTTTATTATTATTTTTATTTATATATTATTAATTTATTTATTTTTCGTCCCCCCTCCCTGCTTGATACATGGCAGGGAGGGGGGACGAAAAATAAATAAATTAATAATATATAAATATAATAATAAAAAAAAATAATATAACAAAAAAATTAAAATAATATTAATTAATAATATATAAATATAAATAATAATAAAAAAATAATTAAAAAATAATATAACCAAAAAAATGAAAATAATAAATAATAATATTTAATTTTTTTTTTATTTTTTTTATAAAAATGCCCACCCCCCACCAAGGCTCTGCAACACAAACACACACTGCATCACACACACTGCATTCATACACACACACACTGCATTCATACACACACACACTGCACTCATACACACACTGCACTCATATACACACTGCGCACTCATACACACACACACTGTAAATAAATATTCAATTAATATAATTTTTTTAGGATCTAATTTTATTTAGAAATTTACCAGTAGCTGCTGCATTTCCCACCCTAGTCTTATACTCGAGTCAATAAGTTTTCCCAGTTTTTTGGGGTAAAATTAGGGGCCTCGGCTTATATTCGGGTCAGCTTATACTCGAGTATATACGGTACTCTTTTTCCTGGAGCTGCGCGCGCATTCAGCCTGTCTCATAGGAAAGCATTCATAATGCTTTCCTATGGACGCTGGCGTCTTCTCACTGTGATTTTCAGAACGTGCAAAAAAGAAAAGTCAGTCCTCATTCAGGTCACATACCGTTTTAAAGGAACACTCCATGTGTCATAACAAATATAGTGCATCGCTTGGTAATTAATTTTTTGAGCAGGTGCAGATACCTTCACTGTTGCTTGAATTATGTTCATGGTATGAATGATCCATAACTATATGTACTTTGTATCATACCACTTTTACCAAGCTGTAATGGAGCAGGAAGATATATATATATATATATATGTGTGTGTGTGTGTTTAGAAAGGCCATTAGGCCTGAATTTGTGGGAGGAGTAAGTCCCCGACTTAAACTCCCAGCCCCTACTCACCGCTGCCGCTCAGCTGATTGTCCAGCACTTCCGGTCCAGCTTCCCGCCAGAACTGTTCCTGTTTCCAGCAATCAGACGTCCTGATCAATCCTCCGTCCGTTCGAGGTCCTTCCACTCGGTACCCGACTTCCGGTCACGAGACCGGCACGTTCACGTAAGCTAAGCGAGGGAATAAGCGTTCGCTATTCCCCGCCGTTCGGGCCTAAAAACGTAGGGGTAGGCTCCCTCTATCGCATTTACACGAATACATGCTCTTCGGCTAAAGTTTCAGTTCGCGCCAAAACGCACGAACGTTCGGCTCATTTTACTATCGTTTAAACATATTCGTAAGGAAACTACCGAATCTATATTTAAAGTATTAAGTTAATTATTATCTGTATTCCCCTTTTCCGTTCGGTCACTCAGTACCAACCTATTTCGTACGGTTAATACACGAACACCATCTTACTAATCCATATTCGGCTATATTTCTATTCTAACAAGCTAAAGTATGCACAAGTTCTAATCACACGAATCCTACTACATTTTTCGTATATTCCTTGTTCGGTCAGATTATTACTAATACCTTCACATCAGTATGGGGTTATACTATCTGGTTTAACTACCAGCCTTGTGTTTTTTCTACCTATGCTAACCGATTTAACGTATTTTACTGTAATAAACATACTGTTTTAACCATGGTACATACCTTCATACGTGACTAATACAAGCAATACCATTTTTCTAAAAACACTCAGATATAAGTCATTTAAACACTACGTGCCAGAAATACCCATTACACCAACATCCGTACTATTCTTTTCACATAAATCACGCTGTCACATATTTTGGCTTTTACAGATTGCATCGGTCTCTTGCTTTTCTGCGCTAAAGTTGTTATTTCAAGGTCCTTTATTACAGGAACAGGTATTGTATCTTTACAGGTAGAATCCAAGTCCAGTTGGTGATCTCCTTTCAGCCCCGATAGGGGTAAGAAAGGCACATATCCCTCCTAGAGCCCTGAAAACAAAAAACAAAAAAAGTGCCACCAGGTTGTACAGATGCAGGGGATAACCCTAATATAAAATAAGAAAAAGGACACTAATTCACCAGCACAGATACCCAACTTGATATTGTGCCGGGAAAAAGCTGTACAACCCTATTAACATATACTTATGATAAAAATTGTATCGTGATTTATTAAAGATAAAAGCCTTAGTCTCCTATCCACTAGGTACATAGATGTAGAAGGCAGAAAATATCTATGTAAGAGGCTAAAATAGCAATAGGCAGATAGAACTAAAGATAGACATAGTCTGTTCTAAATTAGATAGAGAGATCTAGTAAAGACTAATAGTAGGTATCTAGAAGGCATATAGACGCTCCATTCTACACTACATAGTCATAAATCATCTAGAAACTCTCTAAAAATCACAGCTAGATGCTACCTAAATAGAATCCCTAATGCTTCAGCATAACATAGATCTAATGCCAACTAGCATAACTAGTCCTATGGAGGGACTAAAAAAAGGTGTGGAACTCAATTAAGTGCTAACCCCTACATCCCAAGTGCATAGTTAAAAATAATAAAGTAGGAAAAAGCCCTACGCGCGTTTCAGCGTATCAAGACGCCGTCGTCAGGGGCAAATACAAAAGCTACCGGTCTCTCCCGCTTCTTTAAATGTCCAAAACACAATTGGACATTGTTAACAGCTGGTTCGTCAAAGTGGGAAACTCACATCTCATTGGTCCCAATGAAGCCCGCCTCTCAGTCATATGCTCGTGGTCCACTGTAGCCCAGCCTCCTTCCGCATACTCTCCGTGACGTCAACACGCCACGTCACGTGGCGCTAAAGTTGTTATTTCAAGGTCCTTTATTACAGGAACAGGTATTGTATCTTATCACTTTGAGTTATCAGGTTTTATCACTTACCTTCACATCTGTCGCTAAATATGGAAATTGTCTTTGGTTAAACCCTTAGATCCTGTATTATTCTAAACTTCCACCGATTCTACGCAGTTAACCTGCCTCGCTTAAACGTAAATCTCTGTACTTCAAAACCAAGGTATAGTTCACTCTCTTTTCCATACTAGACCTCACGCGGTCTCAATTCCATTACTACCTTTCCTCAGGCTTACGCTCACGATACGTTATCTCTTTACTATTTGTCTACATAGACATTTGGTCATACGGCCGTCAGGCTCAGAAAACACCAAAACCTGACCCGGTACTCAGCCATACCTTCAGGTACTTACGTCCTTACTCAAGTACGTCCATTCTCTACCCCAAGGCCTCATTCTGCCTTCTCACAAATATCTAAAATCATCCCATTCTTACACCTAACCTTCCAGATCCCTCAATGCAGGATCTCACGTTGCGCCCCTAACAAACCAACTCCCAATACTAATCATACGACATCACGATACGCATAAATACATCAACATCTGTCTTAAATCCTCAGGATTTTTCCTCAAGGACAGCAATAAGACAAGACTCTCTACACTTATTACCCCAAGGAGGCTCCAGATACCATTTGCGACCAGTCAAGGTTAGTATCCACACACCACTCCAGTCCTCTCACTTTACCCTTAAGCATACAATCGAACTGGCTTCAGGGCCCAGGCTAATGCCGTAGTCGACCCTATCAGGAAATCTGACCCCGCGAGGCCTACCACCCCCACCCCACCTCAACACGGAGGTACGGCCCCACGCCCAAATCATAGTTATAAGCCTTGCATGCCCTACTACAGGGCTCTAGTTAGGGCCTCACCTGTCACGGCCACACGTTTTGTTTTCTCTTTACCGTCACCGAGAGGCCAACATCCCGCCACCACGTCTGTGGCAGCTACGTCATAAGCCAAATCATAGGTAGAGCCTCTCACCGCCACTTGGCATTAGCAGAGCCTCACCTATCCAGTCATTCAACAGTTAAGTTTTTTGCTTTGGCATCTAGCATTACAGTCCAGTTCTTCCAGATACACCACCCCCATACCCCTCCTACTTACCTCACTCCCCCTCTAATATATCTTTCACATAATCATTCCTTTTTAGAATGTCCCAAGAACCAATTCCAACCGAAGAATTGACAGAAGGAACACCATTCACGCCAATCAGACCCGGGTCTCCAGGCGAATCACTCACCCTTTCAACCCCCACGTCCTTGAGAGCATGGACTATTCCCAAAATCACGGCCGAGCTTAGGCTCAGGGGAATCCCCTTTCCGGCCACAGGTAGAAAGGCAGAACTTTATAGGCTGCTTACCCAACAAGCCCCGGAGCCTAGGCCTGGAACTAGCTCTCAAGGACAACCACCAAGAAACAGCACGGCGACCCAGGATACCCTGGCAGATATCTTGGCCAATCTACAGACCCTCAAAAGCAGGCTATCTAAGGTGGAGAGCGCCATCTCCTCCTCAGGTACTAACACCGAAGTCCCAGTCTCTACCACGGCTGTACCTGCTATACCAACATGCCCCCCTATACTCCCCCCTCCAGCACCTGGCACAGCCATCACACCATTCGAGTCACCAGGACACTCCGTCCCAGACTCTATCAGGAAAGATATCCTAGACGGGAAGGATGTGTGTCTGGTGTCTTTACTCATAGCCTCTCAGGATATACTCGAGAACAAGGCATACAACTATGGTGACATTTCAGTTGTGCTCAAAACGAGGGATCCCAGGCTCAATAAAAAATTGTCTATCCCCCAGTTCCTGACCGCTTTAGGGATATACCGCGACGTCATTTGCACGGTGTATCCCCACAGGAGAGAAGAGCTAGATCTCTATCTCCACAAGGTAGTGGATCTAGGCATCAAGTACGGGGGCTCTTCCTTCTACGACTACCACAAGTCAGTTTCAGCGAAGGCGGCGACCCATCTCAAGCAGTTCAACATTAGAATGAACTGGGGTCAGATGGACACAGAACTTTTCTGTCGCCACTTCGCTGGACTCAGGCCCCCGGCTTGTGCCATTTGTAATTCTACATCCCACATGGCGGACTTATGTCCCGTCGAATCAGATCCCACCACCTCCACTCCCACCCCTCACCCCACGTTCACACCTCACTCCACTTTCACCCCTCACAACAAGCCAGCGGGTGGTCTTCGGGATAAGCTGGGTAGGCCCATGTCCTTTTTAGGTAAGGCGCAGGTGTGCAATAATTTCAACGCAGGCTCCTGCAGTTTCAGCGCCTGTAGATTATTGCACATCTGCTCTATATGTTTCAGGGCACATACCAAAACCTGGTTTTTTATCTATGGTCTCACTCCAGCAGGCACTTGGTGGATTTTCTCACCACAGGTTTCTCGCAAGGGTTTCACACAGGCATAGTAGCCATTCCCCCAGGTACACTAGAATGTCCTAATCTCCAGTCAGCATGTTTAGACCCAGTCGCTATAGACACTCTCATTTCCTCAGAAACCACTAACGGTTTCATGATCGGACCCTTCACCTCTTCACCGTTTTCCTCCTGGCGCACTAACCCTATTGGTATTGCTATTCACAAATATTCTAATAAAAAACGTCTTATCGATTTATCGGCACCGCACTCATTCCAGCAGACGAATTCTCACTTCAGTATGTTACCATCGACGACGCCATAGAGTCCATCATATCATCTGGTAATCGACCCTGGCTCAGCAAAACAGACATCACAAACGCGTTTAAATTACTGCCCATACACCCCTCACTCTGGCACTTACACGGTGTTAAATGGCGAGGGAATTATTACTTCTCAACACGACTCACTTTCGGTTCTCGAAGCAGCCCCAAACTTTTTGACATTTTCGCAGAGTCACTATGCTGGCTGCTTCTGAACGTCATCAGGTGTCACTCCGTTATTCACTATCTAGACGACTTTCTACTGATAGAGCCAGGGTCATTAACACCCTCAGCAATCAAAAGTACTACCGCACTATTTTCCACACTTGGAGTCCCTTTGTCCCCAGCCAAAACTATAGGACCCACAACAAAGTTGACCTTTTTAGGTATAAAGCTCGACTCTGTCAAACTCAGAGCTAGCCTTCCCCACGACAAACTATCACGATTGAGAGGGGAGATAGACATGTTCCTGCGGAATGATGTTTGCACCAGGAGAGAACTTCAGTCCCTTCTTGGATCTCTGAACTTCGCCATGCGCATCATTCCGCAGGGAAGGTCTTTCATATCCAGACTTCTTTGCCTGCTCCACGGAGTCCCGGACTCCGGCACAGTTTCTTTGGACCCCCACGCCAAGGCTGACTTAGCTATGTGGGGGAAGTTTTTGAAAGACTGGAATGGTATCTCCATGTTTATCCCCCCTCTCTCCACCTCTTCACCCATCATCCACACAGACGCAGCAGCCAACACCGGTTTCGCAGCCATTTTTGGGAACCACTGGTTTAGGGGCCACTGGCCCACTGAGACGGATGCCTTGCCAGGATTCAGGGAGACCTCAGCCCTATTTGAAATTTACCCCATTGTGGCGGCCGCACACACCTGGGGTCATCTCTGGTCCGGCAAGGCAGTAAAATGCTACTCAGATAACACTGCAGCTTGCGAAATCGTTAACAAAGGGCGCTCATCATCCCTGACCATCATGCGGCTGATTCGCAAGTTGACCTGGCTGGCAGCATCCGGTCAGTTTCACTTAGTATGTTCACACATCCCGGGTATTCACAACACGGCCACTGACGCTCTTTCTCGTTCTCAATTCCAGGCATTTTCTCAGGCACTCCCAACGGCTCACCAACAGCCATCCAGGACACCACGGTTTCACGAACTAATCTTGGATTAAGCACACTCTTGCTTCACGCTAGATCACTCACTCACCAAGCATTATCACCCAACACTGCTATCACTTACAATAGGGCACTTAACATATTTAACAAATTCACTGCAGAATTCGGTCTACAAGGTGACTTTTCTATCCAAACCATGGTGACTTTTGCCTCTTTCTGCCACCTACACCTTAAACTGTCGCACAACACCATTAAACTTTACCTCACTGGGGTTCAGCACCACAGCCTCACCAATTTTCCTAACAGCACTCCCTTTTTGTCATCATACCCCATTAAAAAGGTCTTGAAAGGTATATCAAAGGTTTCACCTCCACTCGCAAGCACTAGATTACCTATAGACGGACCGATCTTCGGGTCACTTAGCAATCTCCTTGACACAGCCCCATTCGATAGCAACACCAATACGGTGATCAAATCTGCTATATATCTCGCTTTCTATGGCTTTCTCAGACCTAGAGAGTTCACCATGGTTTGTCAAGGAGATATCGCGCTAAGCCTTAAAACTTCACACCTCACCAAGATAGAGGATCACTACCTACTTTCTATCCCTACCACTAAAACCAACCGGACACTACACCCTACAATAATTCCTCTCTTCCCTACTGATAATGCCTGGTGTCCGGTGAAGGTTCTAGACCAACTACAGTCAACTCTTCACGCTCACCTGCCAGACTCTCCGCTCTTAACATTACAAGGGCACCCGCTTACCACGGCAAAATTGATGTTACACGTCAGAACCCTGTTATCTAAGCTCGGACACAACCCGGCTGCATTCTCCGGGCACTCCTTCCGTATAGGAGCCGCCTCAGCAGCCTCTAGCACAAACGCACCGGTCCACATCATCAAAAGGCTGGAGCGATGGAAATCCTCCATATATAATGCATATATTCCGCAACCGGAGAAAGCTTCGCCAAGCTTTCAGGAACTTGGTCTTGTAAAATGCAATAAAGTGTGTATTTTCTCGAATTTATCTTTTGCCCTCTTTTATTTACAGGCCCACTCATACGTTGGTTTCGGCACACCACAACCAACTTTGCTCACAGATACTATCCATTACGTATTTAAATTCCGAGCACAAGTAGAAAGGCCATTAGGCCTGAATTTGTGGGAGGAGTAAGTCCCCTACTTAAACTCCCAGCCCCTACTCACCGCTGCCGCTCAGCTGATTGTCCCCACCCACCTACACCCTGTTTTAAATACATTCTCCTTGGTGGGCCCTCTTTTATTTACAGGCCCACTCGTACGTTGGTTTCGGCACACCACAACCAACTTTGCTCACAGATTCTATCCATTACGTATTTAAATTCCAAGCACAAATATATATATATATATATATATATATTGCACATACCAGTCCTGCTTCTTTGGCTACACTACTAAGGGAGAAGAGGGGATTTGCTTGTGCTGGCCAGTGGAAATGGCAAGGCTTGGGGGGATTTTACTACAAATAAGTGTACAAAAACTTATTGTGGCAATGATGTACAATTGGCATAACTAATTAAGGATGGTTAGCAGCTGTTTAAGGTATGTCTCATAGAACCTGACTCTAGCATTGTTTAAAAATGTATATTTGCTAGTCAATATACCCATAACTACAAATAGGTATACATCATGTGAGTGTGTGTATATTTGAATATATTTATTTGTTAGTGTGTTCTTAATTAGGGTGTGTGTGCATGAGTGGCTGGTTATTTAGTTGAAAAAGTACCCATATGCTTTGCGTTGGATAACTTGTTCAATGCAGACAAGCCCTCAGGAAAAAAGTCTGTGTTTTTGGTGGCTACTAACTTATGATTTGACATTGTGAGCCTCCAATTACTAGACTCTGACTAGATATTGTTTGTTTGCACATAGGTAACTACTCGGTGATTTGTGCACACTCTTTTAGAATGTCTTATGATAGAAACAAAGATACATGATATGCAAAAAATGGGCAACTTGCTTTCATAGCTCACGGTATAATAAAACAATCTTATCTGTATATTTAATAAACTTTTACAGGTTCTCGGAATACTTAGATGGCTAATTTCAGAATGCCGTTTCCTCCAGCTTCTGCAGAGATTCCTTCAAATGAGAAGCAATTCTACAATAAGGCCCTTCACGATTTATTGAGGATGATACAAAATAGCAGTTGGTAAGCAGGCAGTGCTAATTGTGACCAGTTTTGGTATTCCTCTAATGCAAGCATGTCAAACTCAAAGGCTAAGACGGGCCAAATAAACAAGGTTTACGTTTGTGGGCGCAAAACAAAACTAGGCTAAGAAATTTATGTATATAGCCATTTTGCTTATAAGTTTTTGTTACATTTGTCTAAACCACAGAGATCACACTATTACTTTAGATACTGGTATATATCCAAGGAGCCCTCTCCTCACTTATGTGAGAAGATTTTGGCTTATTCTTTTTTTCTTTTTCATACATTGGGTTAAGCCCTGAGACACCCCTGGAGTGTCTCACTGATCTATCACCTCTGTGACTGTGTTAACACTTAAGACACACATGGCTGTTATGCTGTTGTATGGGTGTAATACAGTCATAGAACCCTTTTCTATTATTTAGAAAAGTACAGTATAAAAAAAGTTGCCTAACTGTCACTGGACGTCCTCGCGCTCGTAGTGCTTCAAAATAAACAAAATTGCAAATTTATTTTAAGAAATGCATTTGCATATAAACGTTTCAGTCCAACTACCTTGACATATTAAGAAATGTTTGGTAATGGGACTGAGATGGTGAATGTATGCTGTTGCACAGCTGTAAAAAAACAAATTATGTAATCTTGTTTGTTTTGAAGTTCTATGAGTGTGTTCTTCACTTTGGCTGAGATAATCAAACTTGATGATCTCAGCCAATCCAATGTTTTCCCATAGGAAAGCATTGGGAGGCTTTTGTACGTGTGTGGCAAAAAGCTGCGTGGACAAACAGCGCCTCCATGCAGATCCAATCTAACACTCTGCCCCTCCTCCCACTCTAATACATTGCCCCTTCATATACTGCCCCTCCTCCCTCAACTCTAATTGAATAGGCTGCCCCCACTCCCACCACTCTACTTTAATACACTGCACTCCCTCCCCCAATTTAACACACTGCTCCCCCACCACTCTAATACACTGGCCCCCTTCCTCCCTCAAATAAATACACTGCACCCTCCATCCCAATAATCTATTGCCACCACTCCCCAATTTAATACACTGGTCCCCTCCATCCCCCAGGTTAATACACTGCCCCTTCCCTCTCTTAAATTAATACACTGCCCCATACCACTACCACTTTGCACTGCCCTCCCTCTAATTTAACACACTGGCTCCTCATCCCTCAAATTAATACAATAGGCCCCTCCCCCAAATTAATAGTGCCCCTCCCATCCTCAAATTAATACAGTGCCCCCCCTCCTTTAAATTTATACACTGCCCTCCCTCCCTTAAATGAATACACTGGCCCCCTCCCTCAAATTGACACAGTGCCACTCTGCCCTTTTGTGGCAGGGAGAGCAAGAATCAGGAAATATTTTTCCTGTCTTGCTGGTCGCAGCCACAGCTGAAAGCGGCCCCAGGGCAGGTGAGCCACTAATATGTTCACTGTGAGCAGCATGTGTGACATGCTTGCTCTAATGTATTTATGTGTGAGAAATGGTAATACTTTTTTAGTTGCCAAATGATTTGGTTTATTTCCTCCCCAATTTAACCTACTTGACCTAACATTTCCTGTCATTTCACCACAATTCCCATTTTGGTTTATAACCCGAAATAATTCATTGTCTTCCTCATTGAGAGACGTTGTCTATAAGGGCTCTCGTGATCTCATGGGATCCGCCATAGGCATCGGTGTTGTACTCTTGTGCATATGTGAAAATACAGTACTGACGTCGGCTCCAGGCAGATGAGTTGAAGATCAAAGATGCCAGCGCCGGCAGTGGACAACACCAGGTAAGTATAACTCACCTCTACTACAGCCTCAGGCTACCGCTCCCCAGTGGTGAAGTCACCATTGAAGGTGACAGACTCTTTAACTTAGTGTGTGTCCAGTAAACAGTGACTATTTGAAATTGGAAACTGTTTAGGAATTGGTCTTTAAACAGACAGGAGCCATACCATAGTTTCTACATCGTCGGTTCACTGATTGGTAAACCAGAGAATGTTTTACAATCACCTAAGCTACAGGCTATGCATGCTCAGTCTGCTGTGCATCAATCTTGGGGAGGACATATTCCCTATTGTGTGTGCAGTATGATCGTGCTAAGTGCACAGTAGGGAAAAAATGGACGTGGACTACCTCTAAGGAATGGTTTTTGGCTTCCCGATTGACAGCCTTTGTGGACTGTCTTATAGCACCAAACCTGGGGTTTGGCTCAGGGCCTTAAAACCTTACAGTTTGCTGTAATTTAACAAGCCTATGGTAACAAATGGAGGAACTTATCATAAATATATACATAAAATATATATTTTTTCTATTTTATGTGTGATTGACTAGATGGTTCAGTTAGTTTTTCTCTGCCATTATAATGTATGTATGTAGTAATTTGAACAGTTTCTAAACTAGAATTTAAACATTTTTGTCTTTCAGCTCACACAGAAATGACATTTCTTATGATTTAAGCCAATTTGAAATATCAGCTGAACATATTGATGAACAAGCTGTAAACCCAGTCCAGGATGTGAGCTCTCATATGTATACAGAAACAGGTATGATTTTATTGGATATAACGAGGAACACTTTCAATGTGCATTTTTAAGTTGCGAGGAAGAATGTTTTTTGTTTAAAAATAATTTATGACCAAATGATATTCTGTAGATTATCATGAGTTTTAGGGTTGCCACCATCTAAAGGCCCTAGGAGAGGTGTTAATGGTATTCAGAAATCAAAGATAGACCTTTATTAGCTACAATGGGTGTAAAGAATTCAGATTTGTAACCTTTTCCGATTTGGGGATTTTAAATCCTCACCGGTGGCTGCCACAATGAAGAAGAAACCACAGAAGGTCAAACAAACCAAATACCTTTCTAGCAGTCTTGATGCTTTTTCGTGTGTGTGTGTGTCTGTGTGTCTATCAAAAGTATAGCAACACCTACCTCTGCATGAAATTCAACATCTTTGAATAGAAATAAAAACAATATAACAGTAATAAAAAACAAATTAAATCATATACCAAATTAAAGGAAATTGAATGTAGATTTCAAATCTAAAAACAGATCAGCATTATTATGTTTACTTTTTATTCTCAAATGACGTTTATGGTACAAAGCACACCATACGTTTTGAAAAAGAAAGACCACATTGAGCATTTAGTTGTATCAAACAATCAGAGGCTGTTACTTTACAGCCAATCGCAGCTTAGTATTCTGAGCTCTCAGCTGAAATATCAAAATAGCAAGAGAACAAGGGTGCTTAAAAATTAAAAATAGTGCGATAATTCAAGCAGCACCTTTTAAAGTGCCATATCCCATAAAACAAACTCTAACAATAAAAGATTTTTTAAAAGTGCGTTGTTTAAGTCCAAAAATCACAGTGAAAAATGTTAAGACACAGTGTATTTGTTATTATTATAATCCTCTCTAAACCTGTATAAAGTACACGTTAACTTTGTACATAACTTATTAACTTGGCAGTTAAGATGTTGAGAGAAAATGTGTCTGTTGCTGACCATTACACTATCATAATGTTGCATAGGGATGTATTTTCACTCCACCAAATTGCTTTGAAAGTGAATTGTCTGCATTCTACTCTGTCTGGGATAATTAGGCACTCCGCACCAGATCAATAGAGACTGAGGTCTACCGCACCAGGCAAGACCCAAGGTACAGATTATGTAAAGAGGCCTCCAGCACAAAGTAGCCAGGTGCAAGATGTTGGCAGGAACAGCATACGATAAGAGGCACAACCAAGTTACTGGGAATGTGTACTGAAATATCTGCACAGAGTATGGGCTGGACCTCCCTAAGTCCAGCTGGGAGATACCACAAAGAGTAGTTGAAAATGACAGGGCTTCCTGGGTTAGGGGGGCCCCGCAGACTGTTTCACTCTCTGAGTGCCCACTTTGCCACAGACCACTCTGCTGGAGGGATGGAATGGAAGGGGGCTCTGGAAGGAGGCCAAAAACCCTCTTGGAGCCAAAGCGGATCCAGTAGTTAGGGTGGATGGAAATCCTCACTGCTGCTACTTTAACATCAGCCCAAAGATTATGTTCACAAAGGTGGTGAAGGCCCAGCTGTGGGTATACCTGAGACCAGTGCAGCACACCTCCACTGTCTACCTGCAGATCCTCCGTCTCATGCCTATTACAGAGGAGGGGAGTAAACACATCCGCATCCACTCTCTGAAGATTGACTTGCATTCCTTCACAGGCCACTGGCAAAGTATTGACTTCAAACACGTACTTCAAAACTGGTTTAAGCAGCCATACAGCAACTGGCGTATTGAAATCAATGCATTTGACCCCAGTGGAAACGATCTAGCAGTGACTTCGTTGGAACCAGGGGCAGAGGGGTTGCACCCTTTCATGGAGTTGCGTGTGATGGAGAACAACAAACGATCAAAGCGTAGCCTTGGACTAGACTGTGATGAACACTCGACTGAAACCAGATGCTGCCGCTACCCTCTAACTGTCGACTTTGAGGCCTTTGGCTGGGACTGGATTATTGCCCCAAAACATTACAAAGCCAATTATTGTTCTGGCCAGTGCGAGTACATGTTTATGCAGAAGTATCCCCACACCCATCTTGTTCGACAAGCGAACCCACAGGGCTCTGTGGGCCCTTGCTGTACCCCAACCAAAATGTCACCCATCAACATGCTATACTTTAATGACAAGCAACAAATTATTTATGGCAAAATCCCTGGTATGGTTGTAGACAGGTGTGGCTGCTCTTAAGACTCTGGTCCCCTACTTCTACCCACTTGCTTTTAACTCCTTTCTTTCTCTCAAGGGTATAAACAGACCAAAATTTGGGACTGAAGGTGGCACATTTTAATGTTTCCAATCCCCATTATCCTATACAGGTTAAGCTACAGATTTGGCACTCTGCATCTGATTTTTGCTTTATAGTTATGTTCTTGCAATAACTGGTGTTATCATTGAAAATGTCCAGTTGAGAGTTAGTCCCTGGCCAAGGTAAACAAACATAGTTTCGCAAACTGTGATGTGCCATATTATGGTAGTAGTAAGAAACCAAGAATTGTGGTTGGCAACCTAAAAACCAACCTCAGTGGGTACAATGTGAGTATATTTGTTTTAACTTTTTTTGGGAACATTTTAACTCCCAAAACAATACTTAGAAAAACTGGGGTACAAGTTGAACCAAAAAATGTTAAGATCTATATCGCTGTTGACAACTTCTTAGATTTTAAAATGCTTAATAATTTTAATGTCACCCCTTTTATGTTCTTGGAATGACGAATACTGGCTCTCACAGTGCATCACATTGATTGCATTTGTATTCTGCTATCTCTACCCCATTTTTCTTCTACCTGGCCATCTTTAGGATTCCTCCTGTTTCCTTAGCCCTTGCAACACTCCCCATTGAGTGAATAATGTATTTGTTGTGTCTAATGTTCTGTGCAATACAGTAAAACAAAACAAAGCATAAACAGAATAAAGTAAATGAATAACAAAAGGCAAAAAAAAAAAGAAAATGACAGGGCTAAGATCCTGTGGGACTTTCAGATCCAGACAGACAAGCAAGTAATGGCCAACTAACCTGCCATTGTGTTGGTAGACAAGGAACAGAAGACTGCAGTGGTGGTGGATGTGGAAATATTCAGTGACCATAACAGCAGGAAGAAGGAACATGAGATGGTGGACAAATACCAAGGACTCAAAGAGGAGCTATGAAGGATGTGGAAAGTAAAAGCAGTAATAGGCAAAGTTGTGATGGGAGAACTCGGGCTGTGGGGGATGGGGCAGTGGATTTAGCAGGTTCCAGATTGACCATCTGAGATCACTGTCAGAAAAGGGAAGTTCTAGGAACAGCTAAGATACTGCACAGAACCCTCAGACTCCAAGACCTCTGGTAGAGGACCCCAGAATGAGTAATACTCAAAAATATACCACACAGAGGGTGATAGTTGTTTATTTTATTTTTCAACAAGCCACTGCACCCATGCAACTTCGTTAAGAAGTGGCATGGGTGCCTAAAGTGATCCTTTTAGGTGCTAAGAACATTTTTATGTCATTGTATTTGAGCACATAAAACATAATTTCCTGTTCAATGTTTTTTTTTTTCTTGCTTGATTTGGCAAAAATCTTTAGTGTGATTTCAGTTAATTGCTTGGATGATCTTCTTTTCAAAAATATTTACTTTTTTTCTATTTTGTTTGATGCAAAAAAAAGAAAACAAAACAACAAAGCGAGCTTCATGCAAAAATACTAGTTTGCTCACAGCATATAACTACTGTAAAAAGTTGGAGGGTTTTACACAAATAATGTGATATATTATCCTCTGCAGAGAGGACCAGGGTTTGAGTTCCTGAGGGAGCCCTGTTTTTCTTCAAACTACTCAAATGTGACTTAACAGAAAACTGGGGATGGTGCCATAAGAATCATTGCATCAAAACCAGTACAATGTACAGTTTTTATTGTACTTCGAGTGCTCCCTTACTGTTATTATTCATGGATTAATACTTCTCCTAAGCATTCAGAATTAGGCCTTGGAGAGAAAGCTGTTAATATAAATAACTGCATCAGTTTCTTTTTATATTACCAGATGTTACATTGCCATCTCATTTAGTTGCAAACACTTGCACGGAGCCATCTCTGGAATCCAGTGCTGCCATGAAGCAAAATTCAAAGAAAACACGGAGCAATGTGCTGAAAGGCCCAGCCCTTCTGCCGTCTGAAATTCATGAAATTTATGATGAATTATTGGGAATATACCAAAAACTTCAGGTACAGAACTTGGGGATTATATTTCTTAGAACCTTTGAATACACTTGTAAAATTATATTCAAGGAGACACAGTATTATTTGTTTCTTTGGTGGGTTTATTAAATAAGTTTTAACTTTATTTATTTTGGGGGAGGAATGGGGGTTTGCCTGTGGGCAAAAGTCACTTTTTATGATCTTAAAAGCTCCTAAATAATAAGCTGATGCCATATGTCTCTATAGTTTGTATATATTACCTTACACTTTTCCAGTTAATTAGAGAAACTTTCTTGTAGTAATCAATCTGTAATTGAAATGGGATTTACATTTATCTAATAGGAAGAAAGGGTGTCCCAGGAAGAATATTCACAGCAACTGAAAAAGCAAGAAAAGTGTTTGCGGGAAAAACAAGAAATGCTTTTTAAACATCAAGTTACTCTAAGCAAAATTAAAGATGTTGAAGAGATTGTTCATGCTAAGTTTCGATTTATGAAAGAGGTAAGGTTATTAATTCAGTCTGAGTTGAATCAGTAGTTTTTACATTGAAATCCAGAGTTCTGAATTTAAAAAAAATCACTGTAAAAATATAAGCAATACTTTTTTTTTTTTTTTTTTTTTTTTAAATTTTCCTCCATACTCTACATCAGAAGCTTTTGCCAAAGTGATGCTTGTTGGTAATAGGACACAACAACTTTAGTCTTGTTCCATTTCTCACTCATATTGCATACAATTCATAACACATGTCATCCATTTGACACAAAGCAGACAGCAATGCACCTACATCCCACGCATCACCATTTTCAGTGATTATTTTATGACGCTGTGAACCTTTAATTGCCATCAGTTACCAGTTAAAGGGACACTGTAAGCACCATAAGCACTGAAGTTTAAAGCTGAACCTACGCTGTGAAAATAAAATAGTTTGACAGAATATGTTGGTTTTATACACCAGATATCAATGGGAAAACTGTGTTGCAGACAATGTGCTATCTTGACAATGTAAAACATTCCTCTCTGCTGCTTGCTCATCTAGTGCCTATTAAAGCTTGCCTCACCTCGCTCTTCCATTTTTATTTATTTTTTAAAATATACTAAAACACACAACAAAATAACAATTGTACAGGAAGGAAAATAGTGGTCAATGTATATCGAATCATAAATGATAATGTAATTCAGGTGAACTATGTGAGTGAGTCAGTTGGGCTGAATAGCCATTGACCTACTTTGTTATAATTTTAATTTGGAGACTTAATTGGTCTTGGTTTTAGAGCCTCCCTCCTTGCTGTCCCATCTTTACTCTGCAAACCAAAGACTTGCTGAGAAGCTGCCACTAAACATGCACGACCTCACACAGTTCCTAGTGTGTGGGTGCAGCATGGCACCACTGGATGCATATTTTTACTACAATATATTTGGTTCTGGTAGATACATGTACAGCGGCATCCCACTAAGTTGATGAAGGACAAGATTTCCTAGCTGTTTGATTAATACACTGTATAGATTACATTTTATTGCTTGAGTAGTTAAACAAAGTCATGGTTGGCATGTGGTGCACTTTTTTCCTTTACCATTTGGAATACATTTGCACTAATTTACAAAGTAACCTAATTACCTAATTAATTGGGCCACTGATACTTGATTTATTTTTCTTTTCTTTCTCTGTTTATGTAATTAAATCGTCTCCTTTTTTTTTACCTTTTTATTATTATTTTCCCTGTGGTTTGGGAATTGGTTTGTTGGTTCACCATTTGTCGGCGTTAAATATTTATTTAGCTCCATGTAATTGAAATCCAGTCTAAAGGAAATAGGTGATATTGGGAGATTTTTGTCTATTCTGACTAATCTGCTAGTTTAACATTTCTATATGGAAGACGTTTCTACCAGTAAATGCATTCTGTCATAAGCTCTACACATTTTTTTTTAGCAACATGATGCAGAAGTTAAACAGCTGTCAGATGCCCTAAAAGAGAAGATTAAGGAAAACAAAAGGCTGAAGTCTTCTTTTGACACTTTAAAAGAAATGAACGACAACTTAAAAAAACAGGTAAGATAATTAGCTCTTTATTCCTTTCCAAACAGTGGACCAATTTCACTCCTAGTATAATTCAAATCACACACCCTCTCCTTCTCTACACACTCCCCATGCCAATTATTTTGTAACTTTAGAGAGATTTCAGAATTGTCTTTGGTACTTCATCGGCCATGTAATAAAAAAGCTTCAAAAAGGTTTTTGTCTAAGTAAGATCAAGAAAAACATACTATTTTCACCAGAGTGAACCATTTCATAGTTCGTGAATAACATACTGACCTTTCTGTCCAAAATTAAAGGAATTTTAAAAGCATCATAAATATTACTGCCCATTTTGGAATGGTTTGATAACTTACTTGGACACCTGCAGATTGTCCTTCAAGGAGAAGCCATTTAACGTCTCTTGGCTGTGCAGGTAATCTCTCATGGGCTGAGAGTGTCAGCCAAGCATACTCGGCCAATGAGTCTCGTACTGTATTGGACAGTGCTTAGCTCAGGGAGACATTTGGACAATTGTTTAAATGATTGGAATTACCCAAAGTAATTTTACTTCTATCCAACCAGCACTATATTTGAACGGGTGTCAATAGTATGATATTATAAGATGAGAACTACCTGGCTACAATTTATGTAGTAATAAAAATAATCCTTTGTCTAGTTGAGCTTGTGAAATGAGGTTACTTAACGAGGATGACTGAAATGTGTCTTCCCTATATTGCTTTAAATGATCCTATAATAGGTAGGTTAAGGCAGGAACATTTTTATAAATACTTGGATCCAATAAGTGGCCATTTGGAGAAGCCAGATGTGTTGCGGGTACCCGTGACGCCATGGTAAATTGTTTAAATGGTTAAACTGCTAACTGACAGGGCTCCATGGCACTTCTGGCACCATAATCCCTGAGCAGACTGTAGTGGCCACGATGCTTGGAATGTTAATTTAAACACAAAACTTCTGTGGTTTAGTGACTCCTGTGTGTGTCTAAACAAGATTCAGGTCTTCTACTTTTCATGTTTAACGTTTTAGTCACTATAGGCTGGCTGACTGGTTTTGGGGCACCCCACACGGTCAACAAAGTACTGAGGTATCCCAGTAATAAGCATAGTAGGATGTGTATAATACAGTTCTAGAAAGTACCAAGCTGTTTCCTCTACATACTTTTTACCCTGGTCTCCTTTCAACTGCAGCTAAATGAAGTCAGTGAGCAGAATAAGAAACTGGAAACTCAAGCTAAGAAAGTTCAGGCTCGTCTGGAAAATTTACAAGTGAGTATCCTGTTTTCTGTATTAATATCTTCTGTTACCATTTGGAAGTAATATGTTTGCAAACCACTGACAGATTTCTTGTGTTTTCAGAAAAAGCATGCGTATCTTACTGTGCAGAAATCCAAGCCTATGGCACATGTACCACTCACTCAAAAACTTCCAAAGCTTGAGAAAACCTGTTCCAGTAAATCGAAGGTAGGATGGACATAATGAACACTTGTATGTTGGATCTAAAGAGTATATTAAAGGGGCAATAAAGTATTAGTGTCAGTGGCATATTGGCACATTTAAATTCTATTTAGCCTTCACTACGACATGGCTAATTTCTTGATGTGAGAAGCACCTAGAATAAGTGTGTATCTAGGCAGAGGATACACACATGTTGTCCTCACTGTGCTTGAAGAACATACACAGGTCTAAAACTAGAGCAGTGATAGCTTATTCCGCATCACATGTTTCTGAACTACATTTCTTATTCTACACAGCTAGCCTTAGGGATGTCTAGCTTAGAGGAATCTAACATTGATGCAATTGAGCATGCAGGTTGTTTTCTATCTTAACTAGATTGTAAACACTTCTGAAAAAGTCATTGCTTTAGCTTCTAAAACATATTTGTCGCCTTTTTGATTACGTTCATTCTACTCTGACAATAAGTAAACACATAATTTGGCAACCATACTATTAACTAGTAGCTACATATTAGCAACCGTTTGTGTTTATTACTTTTACCAGCTCTGCCTGTGAGGAAATTATTTGCATCTGGGTGTTCTAAATAGAACATAGAGGGTATTTTCTCAGGCATTATTGGGTCAGGCCTTTATGGACTGAATCATTTTAATCCATTCACTATCTCTCCAAATTTAAAAGCCTGCTTGTTTTACACAGATCATGCAATCTAGTTGCTAGCCTTAAGTAACTTTTTTTAAACATTTTTTATTTAATGTATTGCTATTGAAATAGTAGACTATATATTCTTTCCTTATGCAGGGTTCATAACTTGAGGGCAACCTTATTGATATTTCTGATGTATATTATATTGATATTGAGCAATATCCGTGCCAGTTATTATCATAGCAAAGGAAAATGCTGGCAACATTTCTATTTTCATTAATGAGTGTGCCTAAAAAGGTTTTACATTTTCTTATCCATGTGTTCAAAGGCTATACATCATCTGTTTGTTTGATTTGCCTAATTTACTCTTTTGATGTGCAGAGAACACAGCTGGAAACAGTAATGTTTTGGCTTTGTCACAGGTTCCTAATAATGTTCAAGTGTATGAGCTCTTAGCTGTTCTTATGGACTGGATCTCTGAAATGCAGGTTAAAAAGTCAAAATCAGAGGAACATGGAAGCCAAGACAAGTCATTGTGCTTAAGTAAATTGCCTCCCAACTACGCTCAGGAAAAGTCTGTTAAGGTATTCTTATTATTTTAATTCCTAAATAAAAATGAGTTAAAGTACAGACACAAAGTACTATACTTGCACATCTACTCAACAATCCAGGTATAATTTTACAGCCCATAATGGCGGTCACCGTAAATAAAATTTTTTATGAAGCATATTTTATTAGGTGACATATCTTTTCTATATAGGAAATTGTGTTTGGATTTCACTGGCTGCAGATCACAGAAAACGTAAAGACGCATTGAAACAAAAACAATTTGTAATCATAAGAGGGTCATACTGAACTCCACTTTCCTTAAATGGAAGATGCCTTTACACATAGTAAAAATCACTATTAAAACCTTGCATGCTCTATTTTTAATTAGACACTGGTTGAAAATGTTTCCCTTTCAGACAGGAATTACATTTTGCTTCCTATTTTCCTTTTCTTCGGATTCTCTCTCTCCCTTTCTTTTCCCCTTTTTCATTTCCTTTGTTAAAAAAAATACTTCCAAACCCTGTAGACAATTTTATTTGCCTAGCAAATATGTGATGCCGACCGCACTGCAATGAGAAGTGTTTGCAAGGTTTCCAAAATATTTTGACTACTGTTCGACTAGGTGTGTGCTTCAGCTTTCTTACATTGTAGTGATCTGTGTGCACTGTTCCTGTCCCCCTTAGTCCTGCAATGTAAGGATTAAGACTACTCTAGTGGCTGCCTACTAGTCAGCCACTAGAAGCGCTTACAGCAGTTTCACAAAGTTTAACTCGTGAAACGATTTTTTTGGACATCCTCACTCTTTGCATGAGGACATCCAGTGACAAACTAAAAAAAACAACAACTGGAAAGCATTGATTAATGCTTTCCTGTGGGGAAGGCCTAATGTGAACGGGGCCTTAACAAGGAACACCTGGTTAAGATAATTCATATTTTATTATTAACAATAAAAACAAATGCAATCCGGTTATATGTATTTTGAAGTATAATCAGTTTAAAGACTGTGAGTATGCCAAATGAGCCCCATTGGTTTGTCTGTTTTTAATGTTGGTGTGTGTGTGTGTCTTTTTGAGGTACTGTGTGTTCTATTTAATATAAAAAGTTTGTCGTCTTTTTCAGATCCTACCTGTTGTTGTAGAGCAGTTTCAGTGGATGCCTTTGGTCAGTCCTAAACTTCATCTGGCTTTTATGAAGTTTATATATTGGACCTTAATGCAAATGGAAAATAAAACACAGGTAAGTACTCAGGTTTAAATTCAACTGTGTTGTGTGTACACCCACCCCAGTAATGGTGGAGCGCTTTAGGCTGAAAACACTTACACCAAATGTTAAAAGGTAGTACAGCCTACAAAATACAAACACATATATAGTGCCATATTGCCAATATGAAAGTGATATTAGGTGCTTTATTATGGACAAACTCACATTTGATAGAGCCAAATCAGGACAGGCTCTAATCACATGGGCTGGTGTGTACTCTGGTGACACTGCCCCTCTTCCTCTGTATATTATTGTGTGAAAGTGGGAGATATTCACACAAAATAATTTTTAACTGGTTGACAACGGTGAATAATATTTAACTGATGCGTTTTTGTTTTTTTCGTAAGTCTACAATGACTTCAACCTTGAGGAGACTGGGGGAGGAGACCTTTAAAGGAGTAACTTTTCAGCCCACTCAGAATTCTTCTTTGGAGAACATGATAGAAAACAAACCAAAGTCTTTACCCTTCTTCAAAAGTAACGACTTGCCATTGAGATTTGTGTCAACTTTGGTTATATTAAAAACCGTTACACAAGGTAAGCTTCATCTGTTACACTAATTAAAATAGACCTCTCGCCATACCAGGCATAAAGTGACTACTAGCCAGTGCTACATTTTCACTCACCAAGAGCTAGTGAAAAGTGGAAATGGAAAAGTGGAAATTTTGAGCCTTGATATATGATGTGTGTGTTCATTAATCTTTCTTTGTTTTTAGTGGATTACCTTGCTCAAGCATTGGATTCACTTTGTATGGATTTGAAGAGTGATGAAGGAAGATCTCTTTTCCTGGAATACCAAGCAGCAACAGTTGTCCTGAACCTTTTAAGTTTTTCAGGCAGAGGCCTGGCTTCATATGTCCTAGATATCTTACTTCAATTGTCCATGGAGACCAGTAAGTGCGATTTCAAATCTTTATCCACATAGTATTGTGAAATGTCTATATGGCAATTCTTGGTAAAAGTCAAGTCAGAATGAAATCACTGAGTAATGGAATGATAAACTAAGAAAATGAAGGTTATTGTGTTGGGTATGTGTCCATTTTTCATGAGTAAAGGTTGAAATTGGAAGGCTGCATGTTTGAAGGACCTTGTAATATACCATGAGGGTTTCAAGATGGCAGAGAATGTGTTTGTATTTTTGTTTTGCGGTTACATTTTTCTTTTCTTTTAACCTTATCCAACGTATATTTGGCTTTTAAGTTCCTTTTTAGTTCTTTATGGCCAGTCAGATCTGTGAAATTAACCTTAAATACAAATAAGAGTTGCGGATTCATAATTGCCTAGAGGGCAATGAAGGTTCAGTGTAAAGCCACATCACAAGTATAACTCCTCACTAATAAAGGCAATTCTGATGCCTACAGATGTGTGTAAACTTGCTTTTTAAATATGGAGCCTAAAAATGAAATATCTAAACTTTCAACATACCGGCCCAGCTCCATCTCCAAATCTAGACAAGGAAAAATGAATCAGATTTACATTTCTACAAGATATCGTTTAGAGGCAGAAAACTTAATGAGTATTAATGAGATCATCTTTGGTGATTTATTTTTTTTTTCTTCTTTTTATACACATACACAAACAGTCAAATGGGTTTGCTCAACAAGAGAATGCAAAGATTCTATGAAACAAAGTGATGGCAGTAAGGCATTTAATACTATTAAATATGAAGGACACTAGGATATGTTCCTTTCTTGTTTCCATGTTGGTGTACAAACAGCTCAAGTTTAATAATAGATTAGTTAATAAAATGTAGCTCCTAATTTTTCTAACAAGTTCCATTTGTTTAGATAAGACTACATTATGAATCCTACCTGGTGTGCACTACTCTTTTCCTTTTAAAAGGTCTTAATAGTGATTTTTACTATGTGTAAAGGCATGTTCCATTTAAGGAAAGTGGAGTTCAGCATGACCCTCTTATGATTACAAATTGTTTTTGGTTCAATGCTTCTTCACGTTTTCTGTGATCTGCAGCCAGTAAAATCCAAACACAATTTCATATATAAAAAAAAAAAAAGATATATGTCTAATAAAATATGCTTCATAAAATGTTTTATTTACGGTGACCGCCATTATGGGCTGTAAAATTATACTTGGATTGTTGAGTAGATGTGCAAGGCCCGTATCTAAACTCTTATTCCCTGCTACTCATCAACTCCTACTCAGTAATGTGTGTAATGCATTAGCGCAAGTGCCATTGTGACATACCAAAAGCATGAATGTTTGTCATTGTAATGGTTACCAATCACTGTCTCGCCAAGTAACCCCAACTGGCCTAAAGATTCAGGTCATAAACTGTTAACCTCAACAAATGCACAGCATTTTGTTTGTCCTTCTTTGTCACTATTATCTCTCTCTAAATGTCACTAGTCTTTTCCTTTATATGGCAAGTGGCATAGGGAGAACTAGCAACATGTGGAATAAGAGAGCCAGTGAACATTCCTCCCCTCGTCACATTTCCCTTCCCTGTTTTATTTAGTCATTGAATTCCACAGGTAAGGCCAACACATTGATCCTCTGCCAGTTCCTTTCCCTCAAGGCAAGCCACAGTTTGCATAAAACCACTGGTACAGTAAAGCAAAACCCACCAGAACACTGACTGTTTACACATTCAGAATTTGTGTTTACCTGGGGATCTCCACCACTCCAAGGGGGAGTCCCAGCTGCTCGAACATGTCTTTAAAGTTGTGGGACAATCCAAGGTGTTTGGCACCCCAATATATTCATCATCCCCACATTTGTGCTTTACATACATGATCTTCTATCACAGTATACATTTTCCCCTAACTTTTCCAAGCAGAAACAGACAGGATTTGATCCAATTTAATAGATAGCTTAGGAGGCCAATGTCAGAATGTGATCTAAGTATTTTTTTTAATGCTAGAAGCCAATTCCTTAGTTTTTGAGTTTCGATTTTAATGTAATTTTATTTAAGGACACGGAGGCTCATATTATGCTATTCTCTTTCTTTTATTCCTCAGCAGCAAGAAAAACTTTATTTTAGAGAAACAATCAACCATGTAAACATGCCCCAAAGGGCAAGTCCTACAATAATACAACCAATCAGCATGCCTTCAGCACTCTCAACTCCCCATGTGACCTTAAGCCACTCCTCTTTCTTGCTGCTGCCTTCCTCAGCTAAGTACATTTTTATTTTCTCTCTGTATGCTGCCTGTGTGTTTATCATATTTATTCATTTTGTGGCAGTTTCATTTAAATTTGTTTGTTTTCTGTGTACTGTTGGGCTTCTGCCCTATCTCTCCACTTAATTTCCCAACTGGCTCTAGGTTTTTTTCCCTCACCTAGAGCCAACCCCTCCCTCCCCTCCCATCTCTGACTCACTTCAGGTGGATTATCACCTACTGAGTCAGGGCGGCTAGCAGCTCTCAGTGTGGAGGCTCTTGCCGCCCAGTCTGTTTTTCTTGCGCCTCTGAGATCTGTTCTCGGGGGCCTCCCTCCCCCCCCCTCCGGTTCGCGGCTGTAACCGCGGCTGGCGCCGTTTCGCGCATGCGCACAACGCTAGTGCGCATCGCGGCGGCCATCTTGCGGTTGGCAGTTTGCCGCGGTTTTTTCGTTCCCGGGCTTTTTAGTGCCTGTGGGGGCGGGAGTGTGTCCTGATTGGACAGCACAGTTGCTGGGCAGCTCACCAGTGTCCCCAGGAGCCATTCCTGAGGGAACACTTGGTGAGCTTGCCTTTTTCATATTCTGTCTGTTAATTTATGGTGCCTTGGGTATTTCTGTATCAGTCCTACTGATACATTGCTAATACCCAGTTTTTTTGCAAAAATCAGGGAAGTCACTCCATTAGTTTATTTGGGTTCCCCACTCACCCCCCTTTTTTCTTGTTTTACTTATAAATAATATATTCTTGTACCTAACCACAACTACTGCAGAGGGGTTATTTCGTAATGCAAGCTAGTAAGAGTTTGGGCATGGCCTCCAGCGATTCCCCCATTAGGGATAATATGCCCCCTGCCCCCCAGGTTGTCCCCAGACCGACTGGCTCAACTGTCACTGATGTGGCAGACCAGGAGCAAATGAACTCGGAAGAACTTCATTCTCTCCTGGATGCCACTATGACAAAATCCGTTACCCAAGCTGTTTACTCAGCCATGGGAGTTATGTCGGACACTCTGTCCCACTCTATTAGCCATGCCCTCTTGGCCGCCCAACAGGCCTCTACGCACATTGCCCCTAACCCTACAGAACACATTACTGGCAAGGCCAGTGGGCGCAAAGCCACCAAAAAAGCTTGTCACATGGACGAGGAAGCCTCCAAAACTTTAAGGACAGACAGGGAACGTCCTGTCAAAGATAATGTGGTTGCACCACAACAAAGAGCCACCCACCGGGCAAAATCGGTGCGGAGTTGGAAAAGGGCAAAAGCCCAAGTGGAATCATCCGAGTCAGATTCGGAACAGGAGGAGGCATGGAGCGAGTCTGATGATGAGGACTCATTCAATTTGGGCACACTATTTCCCGACCACAGCGCTATATCTATGTCTGGGAATGAGGACGAGGACGGGGTGGAAGGCTTCACCCTCCTTGACCCACAGGGCGAACCTTTGTTTGACCCTGATAGTCTGCAGCACCCAAGATCTACTGAATGGTTCCCGCTGGACCATGTGGCAAAATATATTGCCGCACGGATCAGGAAACCCCTTGATAAGGTGGCAAGAAGTAAGATGCGGGCAGAATGCCCACGCCCCACGCTCCCAGATTTAATATGTATCGCCCCTATAGTGGACCCTAAGATTGCCCAGTTCCTGGGGAAAACTGGGTGGAAGGCGAAGAAGGGTCTCGATTTTGCACTTCGCCATTGCCAGGATAAGATCCTGGATGTCCTCGGACCCAGTGCAAAGATCTTTGATATGGTTGAAACGGCACTGGCAGGCGGTGCTCCCATAGACCCGCTAGCTATCAGGGGCTGGATACAGCGAGCCATATGTCTTCTTGGAAATGCCAACGTGGCTCTAGCCACTGAGAGGCGAAAGGCTATATTGATTAAAATCGAACCAAAGCTAGTTGCCTTGGCTATCACTGAACCTGGGCCACAGGCCAAAGGCCTTCTTTTTGGGGATAGTTTTGTGAAGGAGCTGGGTACCTATGTGGGAACTTTTACTGCTCTGGACAAGGCGCAAGCCAATATGAAAAAGGTATTCTCCCATAGAGTTTTTGGCGGGGCCGGCAGATATCGGGGCCGTCTGCCCGGCCGTTCTTCCCGGGGCTCGTACCGGGTTTCTAGAGGCCCCTTCCAGTCACGTTACCAGAGTGAGGTACCGAAGCCCTCTCCATTCTTCCCAGTTCGAGGAAGACCCTGGCAGGCTCGTGGATCCAGAAGCGTTTCCTATGGCCGACGCCCTTATGGTGAGTCTACTTCCTTCATCACTAACTTCAGTAACGTTGGTGGGGGGCAGGTTAGGCCACTTTATCGATGCCTGGCGAATGTTAACTTCCGATACTTGGGTCCTACAAACTGTAGTGGGTTATGCCATAGAATTTGTACAAACACCTGTCCAGATATCCCCCCCCAGACACATAGTCTCCTCCATCCACGACAGGGCACTAATCACAACGGAGATACAATCCCTGGCCGACAAAGGTGCAATCATAGAGATGCATCCAGGGGTTTCAGGTTTTATAAGCAACCTGTTCGTGGTGCCCAAGAAAGGCGGGGGTGTCCGTCCGGTCATCAACTTACGTCCCCTGAACGCCTTTGTTGCGTACCACCATTTCAAAATGGAGGGCATCCACTCCCTCCGAGACCTACTCCTCTTGGAGGATTGGATGGTCAAACTCGATCTGCAGGACGCATACCTCACCGTCCCAATGGCCGAGGATTGCCAACATTTCCTCCAGTTCCAATGGGAGGAGACCACATGGCGTTTCAAATGCTTGCCCTTCGGCCTCTCCTCGGCCCCATGGTGCTTCACGAAGCTCATGCGGCCAGTGATCGCTCTCCTACGCAGCAGAGGAGTACGTCTGATTATATACTTGGACGACATGCTGCTGATGGCACAAGACCCACTCTTACTCCAAGAACATCTGATCTGGACAAAGACATTACTCGGCAACCTTGGTTTCCTCATCAACTGGGGCAAGTCGGTGGTACAACCCTCCCAAGTCTTGGAGTTTCTAGGCTTCACCATCGATTCAGTGGAAGGGACACTCCTGTTACCATCGTCCAAAGTCAGGATCATCAAGAAAGAAATCCGCCGGACACTGGCTCGCCCTGCAATAACGCTACGGCAACTGGCCAGGATCATCGGCCTTCTCTCAGCCTCCATCCAGGCCAATTTCCCGGGCCCACTTCACTACAGGGCCCTTCAACGCCTAAAGGCGAAATACCTTCGGTCAGGTCTCTCCTATTCAGACTCTGTGCCTCTCGATTGTGCTGCCAAAGAAGAACTCTATTGGTGGCTGCAACACATGGAAGCATGGAACGGAAGAGCAATCTTTGGGACGAGGCCGGACTTCGTCGTGGAATCGGACGCAAGTCTGCTGGGCTGGGGCGCGCGTTGCGGTCCTATCTCCACCGGAGGGAAATGGTCCCCAGACGAACAAGAGTTACACATCAATTGCCTCGAGCTTTTGGCGGGGTCATTTGCAGTTCGGAGTCTCGTAGGTATCTCAACCAACTGTTCCATTCTTTTACGGATGGACAACGTGTCAGCGGTCCGCTACATCAATCATCTCGGGGGTACGAAGTCAGTGGTGTTAGCGGATCTAGCAAAAGACTTCTGGCACTTCTGCCTGGATCGCAATATTTCGGTTCAGGCGGAACACATTCCCGGGATGTCCAATATGGTGGCGGATTGGAATTCCAGATACCTACGGGATGCAAGCGACTGGCGGCTGAAGCGGGCCATTTTCCTGCAACTTCAAACACTCTGGGGCCCACTAGGGATCGACCTCTTCGCTTCACGGTTGAACTCCCAACTACCGAGTTTCTTCAGTTGGAGACCGGATCCAGAGGCATTGGCTTCAGATGCCTTCCTCCATCAGTGGCCGAACACACGAGCGTACGCTTTTCCTCCTTTCTCATTGATTGCGAGGACGCTTCTACATCTCAGGCGCTACCGAACCTCCATGATTCTCATCGCCCCATTCTGGACGGCTCAACCGTGGTTCCCTACACTCATGGAGTTGTCCATGGACTACCCAAGATTGATTCCAACCTCTCCGGACCTCTTGTTGGACCCCAACGGGGAACCGCACCCCCTGCTATTACAAGGACGCCTCCAACTACTGGCATGGCTCCTCTCCGGGGACTTGGATTCATCCCGGACGTTCCACAAACAACTATTGACCTTCTGGCGGGAGCTTGGGCTCCTGGAACACGGAAATCCTACTTACATGCCTGGAATTCATGGAGTGGTTGGTGCATGGAACAACACATGGATCCCTTATCGGCACCTATAAGTCAAGTTTTGAGATTTCTCACTTCTCTGTTTGACCATGGCCTAGCCTATCGCACGATAAATGTGTACCGATCGGCTATTTCCGCAGGCCACCAAGGGTGGGATGGTGCCCCGGCTGGTAAACATCTCCTCGTATGCCGACTCCTGCGCGGCATTAGATTTGCACGCCCACCACTACCTAGATACTCTTCATCATGGGATGTTGACCTTGTCCTCCAGTTTCTAGCAGATTGGCCAAGGAACGAAGATCTCTCACTGAAACAACTCACAGCAAAGCTGGCGATGCTGTTTTCTTTGATCTCCTGTAAGCGGGTGTCGGATGTGCGTGCGTTGGACTTCTCTGCACGTTCATTCACCCCCGAAGGTGTCTCGTTTAATATTTCCAGGCGTACGAAGACGTCAATCACCTCAGTTTTCTACCCGGCCTTTCCAAATAACTCCAAGCTCTGCCCAGTAGCATGTCTCAAGGAGTACGAGTCCAGGACTTCTTCGATTCGTGATCCTGCATATCCTGAGTTATTCCTGGCCCTTCGTCATCCGTATCATCCTGTTTCAACAGTCACCTTGTCTCGTTGGGTCAAGTGGGTTATGAAATTAGCAGGCATCGACACTTCTGTGTATGGAGCACACTCGGTCAGGGGAGCCATGGCGACTAAAGCATTCTCCAAAGGCTGCAGGTTGGAGGACCTACTCCGGGCGGCTGATTGGTCCCGCAAATCTACCTTCAAGGAATTTTATTTTCGGCCAGTTTCTCATTTTTCAGAGGTGGTCGTGTCACAGCTTTGAACTAGCATAATATGAGCCTCCGTGTCCTTAAATAAAATTACCAGATTTTACTAATTTCATGACGTAAAGTCATGATTTTATTAAGGACACGGAGGCGAGTATTATCCCACCCGATGCAGGTAAGTGGTGCCCTCCCATAGCTAAGTGGTCAATAAGTTTGTTACGAGTTCAGATTACTACAACATAATGCAGGTATTGACAGGTTTTGGTTAGAGGATAATCTGGGTTTTGGTGGCATATATTCCGATGTCTAATTCTGTTCAAAAGTCCAGAAACATATTTTACCAGTTTGTTTCTCTGTTCCTTTCAGCTCCATGAGCCGGTTTGGCACCGTTGTGCATGGATTTCCTTCAGGACCTACGGGAAGATCACAGCTTATAGAGAATACTGGATTTTTCACTGTGGCGGTCCTGGACTTTTTGCTTTTTTTCCTTCATGTTGATGTGTTTACTATGGATTTTTTGTCGACAACACCAAGAAAGAGGAGTGGCTTAAGGTCACATGGGGAGTTGAGAGTGCTGAAGGCATGCTGATTGGTTGTATTATTGTAGGACTAGCCCTTTGGGGCATGTTTACATGGTTGATTGTTTCTCTAAAATAAAGTTTTTCTTGCTGCTGAGGAATAAAAGAAAGAGAATAGCATAATACTCGCCTCCGTGTCCTTAATAAAATCATGACTTTACGTCATGAAATTAGTAAAATCTGGTAATTGTTTGCAGATTTTTTTTTTTTTTTTTTTAAACCATATATTATTGAATTTTCTGTTTTTTCTAAGAGGTAATAGAGAATGAAGAAGAGAGGCACATATATCAATAAAATTGTAATATTTTTCAAAATATGACATTTATTTTAAACGTTTATCCCAAAATAGTCATTGATTTGGAAAGCTTATCCAATCTATACTAAATCAAGGTCTCACATGGATGAGGAAGCAAACTTCCTTGTGACTTTGCAAGCTGCGTGGTATGGGCTTATGTGTTGGGGAATCCTCAAGATAGTTTGAAAAGTCTTTGGCAAACACCAGAGAGAATGCAACGATGGGTTACTAGCACTAACACAAGCTTCAGTAGTTATGGTGTTTGTAGTGTAGCAAGCAAAGAAAAATTATCAAATCCTACAGAGCATGCCTGAAAGTTCTATAATTCCAATAACTTCAATACTGTTAAGATGTACCCCAATATACAAAAGTTAAATCACTTTTATTTCAAATTTTAATAAAAAAAAACAAATCCAAATGGTAACAACCGAAAAAGTGAAAAAGATGTGCACAACCTAATATAAGAAATGACACCATTGAACTCAAGCCTACAAGAGGGCAAAGAACAGTGGCAGCAATCCTACCCCCAACGTTTTGACATTGAGCAATCAATTGTAGTATCCCTTTAAACGTCTGTATGGTATATCACAGGACACCCATTAATGCTTTCCAGTAAAGTTGAAACTATTAAGAATGCATGTCCATGAGGTATCTTTTGAAATTTGAATATCATTATCTGCTTTATATTAACAAGATTGCAAAGTATTTTTTTTTTCACAGCTGCACATGTCGATACCCATCCACTTTGACCTTCTGGAATTAATAATGGTGCTAATGAAGTTATTCCTTGATATATTGCAGGATTTGTGCGGCCCTTTTTGGAATCTTGTAGCAGTGAGTCATTTTTTAAGACCTCTGCTATATTGCTAAAAGACCCTAAAGTTGATATTCAGACATTAGAAAAGCTCAGTATTGTCCTCCAAAAGCTGTCCAAAGTCAGGTAAATATCTTTACACTTTCTGCTTTTTTACCTTATTTGAGTATCTTAATGGTTCTCTACTTATCTTTAGAAATCTCCCTCCCGATAGATTAAAAAGGGGAGAGGAGCTATTAAAGCCACATATATTCTGACTGCAGGCTTTGCAAGATGTCCCCTGTTTTCCCTTATTGAAACTTCTCAGGTGTTTGTGAGTAAAAGGAGTGGGGTTGCATGGAGCATGCCCTAGCTGGACTGCAGACAGGAGAGCAGGAAAGACCAGGTACAATGGAGGCCTGTGAACATGCATGCACTCACAGGCTCATTGACCCTCTAGCAGAGAACACCTGACATTTCTGTTAGCTCAGTGGAGCTGACGGTAGGAGGAAGAAAACTTCCCTGGCTGCCTTATGGACACATGTATCTCAATTGATTTTATATGCTTTTATAAACTGGCTTTATAATTTGATACTCTATAGACCTGAAGCATTTCAGCAAGTTGTTTGTGGAGTGGACATTTAACCCCTTAAGGACCAAGGCTTTTTTGAAATGCAACACATTCGTGGCCTTTTGGAGGTTCTGCCATGTATTCATTCTACCACAATTTAGCTTGCACACAACTCACTGAATACTTTGTAGTAATTCCCATTAGCAGGCAGCCAATTGTACATATGAGAGTGGCAAATTGCACTTAAAGCAAATTTTATATATTTGCAAAAACCAAGCATATACATTAAATTTTATTATCATGTATGTGAGGAAGCTCCACTGAGCAGGGTAGACCCTCAGGAAGGATCATGAGAGATGAGCAGGTACTTAGGGAAATAAGAAATCTCTGTCTAAATACACCATAATAATAGGGTAGCCATGGAACAATATAATATATATGTCTTAAAATTAGGGATAATATAAAATAAATAAAGCAGGAGCCCTAATAATAACAAAGTGGGTAATACTTAAAAGGCCTGCATAATAAATTGACATCCATCATTTGGTTGCCAAAAGGACATTTGCAAAATACGGAGTTAATGTTATTGCAACACAAGATTGTCGCCAATAAGGGACGCTAAACTTAAATATTCTTTCATTCAAGATTTCTACGTTCTTCTGTTTTCTTTGTTGCACCTAAATTGATTAGTGTTACTTTTCATTGTGCAGCAAATGACATTAAAATGTGCTAATATATAAAATGAAACATGTTGTGCCTTTTCACTTATTAACATTGTTTTTGTTTTCCTTTTTGTTTTCTTTATGAATTTCAGGAGCAATAAGAAATTCTTTGAGCTGTTTAATATTCCTTCAGTGATTCAAGAAATGCAAAGATCTGCCAACCCAGATCGGGCCTTTCTTATTATTAATTTGAATTCTATTCTATTTCACTTGGGCTTCACCAAAGCCAACTCACCCAGTAGGAGCCCAAATCATTGAAATATGTTATAATGCTATTGACTTTTTTTTCAGTGTGGAAGGTATGATGAAAGATTTTGAGTGCAGAAATGACCAGCTAAGGGATTAAAAAAAACAAAAAAAAACAGTGATCCATGGCACAATACACATGGAACATGTGAAGGGTCCTGCTAAATACACCCACTCCTGCTTCTTCCTCATAATACCACCCACCCTGCTGTTAGATCAGTTATGTACCGTAAGTGTTTTGTAAATGCGTCTTGCAGAATGTAATGTGAATGTGTCTGTAATCATGTCATGTGGGTGCTGGATGTCAATTAGATGTCATGGATAATGGATGGCCTCTGTGTGTGTCAAGTGGGTTTAGTACAGTAATCGTGGAACATATTTAAATTTTCAATACCTGATTTTGCTTCTAGAACCAGCTTGAGTTTGGTAAGCACTGGATAAGCAACATATTACACTCCTTTGTGTTCCTGTTTAATGTGTACACCTTATACCATGTAATTTGTGCAAAATTGTAAAATGTTTTTTTGTTTGTAGCCCTTGATATTAAAAATGCTAATTCAGATTGATCAATGAGTAAATTTATTCAAGAACTGTGTATTAATTACAGTATACACGTGTTTTGTGTTGTATCTTTTAATATATATATTATTTATTTTAATAGTGAGTTGTTTCATTTTGAGTCCATAGACTGTGATCAAATGTATGGGTTTTTATACACATGCTATATTTTGTTATGTATTAGACTTGTGTTTACTATGATATTCTACATGTATAACATTACATAGGTTTTCAGAACCATTCTCACATATTTGCTTATAATGCCACCAAATGTTTTCCTGAAATATATTTAAAAGGGATAGTATACTCATAATTTACTTTAATGTAAGCTATTGAGTGGTAGGCTTTATTTCCCTTTTTCATTAAGCCATCAAGCACTTAGTGTTATTTATTAAAATGTTGCTTATCTGAATTTCAAAATTTAAGTTGAAACAACCAAATTTAAACTATAGCCGTCTTGAAGATTTAATTTCCAGTTTGGTTGTTTAGCTTTGAAATTCATTCTGAATTCTCTGCAATTCAGATTTTAGTGACTAACCCTGCTTGTAGACCTATATGAGATTCATTGCATACCCAACACAAGTGAATGGACACATTCCTATGTTGAGATAATGTTGGTGTATGGTACTATTTCATGCGTCACATGATCAGACATGCATTTCACAATGTTAAGCTACCTCATTAGGAGATCTACTACAAAAGCAAGATGACTGCTGTGGGACATATTAAAATAGTGATTGCGGAAAATACAGCTCTCTGTACCAGGCTTTTAAAGTCCATTTTATTTTGTGTAGAAACTTGTGATCTTGTTCTAATTGAAATTTGTGAAATCCATTAATTTTTTTTTTTTTTTTTGTATGAGATTTTTCTGCAGTTCTGTGTTTTGTTTTTGTTTTTTCTACCTTTTGTCCCTTTCAGTATGCCTTGTTCCCAATTTTACGTATCATGTTACATTGCGAAAATAAATTATTTATTGTTTATCAACATAAATGTTGTTTATGAGTCACTCTATTTTGTTTTATCGTTTGCCTCTCACTAATGTAAAATACTCTTTAAATACACTAATCAGTTATAGCATTAAAACCTTTAAAAATGCTTCTGCCGCCCTGCCTTCTTCTCATAGTGCATCCTATTGCCATCTCTTCCTTAAGTAAACAACACGCGTGCCATGATTTCTAAGTGACGGCCCATCTAGTCTGTCCAGTTTTCTAAAAAAGCAGAGTGTAAATGATAACAGGCGTAACAAAACGTATACTGGTTCTTAAAGTGGCCGTGCTTTACATTTGTTGGATAGAGAATGGTTAGGGACAAGCTGAGTCAGGGAAACCAGAAATTAGGAAAGCGTGGAATAGCAGAGTCACAGTATTACAGAATGAAGAATAGCCAAGATCAATATATCAGAAATACACAAAAAATACAAGCTCTATTGGGAACCAAAATTAGACCCACAATAGGGCAATGATCCATGCCCTGTGAAGTCTTTTTATAGCCATAGCCAGTGTGAAAAAAAATCCTGTTTTATGGACTTAGTTCGACTGTTTTGTTCTCCCCACCCCCTCTTAGAACACCTGTTTAAACCATTAATAACTGTCTACACTCTGCCTGAAAGGATTATTTGCGCACTACTGGGAGAAAGGGAACCCAAGACGGTCAGAGAGGGTTAGGCCGTCACAGTTGGTGGCAGCGGCGGGATCGTCCCTTTCTCATGAATTTATAATTCAAGGCTGAACCTGGAGCATGCATGGAAGCTTACTACAACCAGCTCAAGCGCAACACCCTGAAAGACTTATTGGAGGTTTGAGGGGGCAGCGGCAGCAATAAGACCAAGCTCTGTATTGTAAGCGAACTAATGGAGCTGGACAGGGAAAGCTAGGCCGGGGCAACCCCAGCTGTTCGTGCAGAAGAAAGCGAAGTGGACCGAGAAATAAGGGAACGGCTGGCGCTGTTCGGGCCAAACCCTGCGCCAGAAATCATCCTTCGCATAACTGACAGTGCAAATGAAAATGCAAATAAGCAACGGGAATTATAAATCCGCTTAGTGGAGGCGCAGAGAACTACAGCGGTCGCACCGAACCGTTCCAGCTTTAACCCTGAACCGCGGAAAATTCCTTACAGCACATTCAAAGCATTTGAGGAGGCTACAGAGGAGATTGGTGGCTATTTGGCGGACTTTGAGAGACAATGTGCCTTATACAAGATACCAGAAGGGGAACTGGTTCCAATTTTAGCTGGAAAGCTCTCTGGCAAAGCAGCTGATGCATTTAGAGTCATTCCTGATCAGGACATAAGCAGCTATGAGCGGGTCAAGGAAGCCCTCCTAGCCCGGTACGCAGTGACCCCAGAGGCGTACCGGCGAAAATTCCAGGAGTCCAGGAAGACGGCAACCGATTCATACACGGAGTGGGCTTGCAGGCTGCATCGGGCAGCCACCCACTGGGTGAATGGATGCCAAGCTACCACCCTGGAGGAATTATTACAGCTGGTGCTGCTTGAACAGTTTTTCTCGCTGCTACAAACGGATGTAAAGGAATGGGTGAGGGATCGCAACCCCCTCACCCTGCAAGAAGCAGCCCGGCTTGCAGATGAAAATACGGATGCCCGCAAGCCGGAAGGACCGTCCCTCAGACCTCAACCAGCACGGGTTGAGCCACCAGCACCACTGTCAGGGGGCAACTATCCACCACCACAGCGAGCCCCAGCAGCCGTTAGTCAACCTCCCTAGACTATGGGACCCAGATGTTTCTGGTGCAAGCAGGTGGGACACTACCACAGGGATTTCCCTATGGAACCTACCCAATCTACGAGGAATCGTCCATCTGCTCCCGACCAGTAGTGCACACCATCGACTACCCCATGTCCTCTACCTTGGAGACCCGGGACTTAACCAGGGAGGAGACCTTGAGGTTCCTTCGTGAGGCCAACCCGGTGCAGGCCGCCAGCGGAGATAATCGACAACACCACCGACAACTAGTGATGGTTAATGGCAAGACAGTGCAAGGCCTACGAGATACAGGAGCCACCATCACCCTAGTACAGAGATACTTGCCCAACAACCACGAGCCACCCAGCAAATCCATCGCTATTCGGGTAGCAGGGGGAGCAGTCTACAGGATTCCTACCGCCCAGGTTCATTTGGATTGGGATGTGGGGTTTGGAACTGTGAAAGTGGGGGTCATGAAGGATTTGTCTTGATACTCGGAATGACTTAGGTCCACTTACATCTGCCTATATGCCTACACCTAACCAGGAGGTTCACGCTGTGACTATCCAAGCTCAGAGTCGCGCTGCAGAAAGCCACTCTCAAATTCCGGAGAGCCCGTACCCTGGGACACCCCTGAAGATTTTGGGAAAGAGGTAGCGGGAGACCCCACTTTGCTAAGATACCAGGAAAAGGCCATCTCTGACCCAGGGGGACTGGATGGAGAACAGTATGTGTGGGAGGGGGGCCGGTTGTATAGATTTGCAGATTCCCGAACCAAAGCCCCGGGGCCAAGGCAAAAACGTCAGCTAGTGGTACCCCAGAAATACAGGCAATAGCTGATGAGGATTGGGCACGATATTCCATTAGCCGGAAATTTAGGGATTAGACAAAACTTCTTCTGGCCGGGAATCTGTAACGATGTCCGGCAGTATTGTCAAACGTGCGAAGTATGCCAGCGGATGGGTAAGAAGGGTGACCACCCTAAAGCTAAGATGGTTCCAATGCCCATAATTGAAGAACCCTTTAGTTGAGTCGCTGTAGACTTAATAGGACCACTAGCTCATCCCAGTCGTTCAGGTAAAAGGTACATACTCACTCTAGTCGACTTCGCCACTAGATATCCTGAAGCGATAGCACTGTCTAACATTGAGGCAGAGACAGTGGCAAATGCCCTGATCAAGGTGTTCTCAAGAGTCGGATTTCCCCAGGAAATCCTATTAGACCAGGGTACCCAGTTCACTGCTGCTGTGACCCAGCAGTTGTGGAAGGTCTGCGGGATAAAACCCCTGACTAGCTCCCCGTACCATCCCTAGACCAATGGTCTATGCGAGCAGTTCAATGGGACTCTGAGGCAGATGCTGAAGACGTTCACGGCCGCTTGCAGGGACTGGGAGCGATTCCTGCCGCACCTCCTTTTTGCTTACCTGGAGGTCCCACATGAATCAACGGGGTTCTCCCCCTTTGAGTTGTTATACGGGAGGCAAGTGAGGGGACGCCTAGACCTGATTAGGGAGCATTGGGAGGGAACCACAGATTCAGCAGGGACCCCGGTGGTGCCATATGTACTGGAACTGAGGGACCGTATGGAGGCGTTGACCCAGATGGTGTGTGAAAACCTCCAGTCGGCTCAGCGGCGCCAGCGGGTATGGTACGACCGGATGGCCAGGCAACGTAGTTTTCAGGTAGGACAGCGAGTTATGGTACTTA